TTGCACATGAATAATGTAAACTGTTATTGAGCTTGTAGTGAATTTCGTGTAATTCAAGTCTTCTCCCCCTATCTGTTCGCTTGATGCTGTCAGTAAAAATGAGCGAGGGTAAAATGTAGTTACAACAGCATCTAGCTTAGTTGTCAGAGAGAGACATAGCCTTCAGATGTCTCTATACATCCACATCTCTGGGTGTTTGCCAACCCTCAGTGCTCAATTACATATCCCATCAGAAATGCTGTCAAATACAATTCTACGTTTCCCATCTCTGGAGTATATGCTGATGCTGTGGCGTCTTAAATTTGAGATTTGGTAGGGGGGAGGGTGGTTGGGTTGACTATCTCACAGGGTGTTATTGCTAAAGGAAAAGAAATGTACCCATTTCTCAATGCTGTCACTCCTGGAAAAACCCACGTTTGTCTCAAAATTCACATTCACTTGCTGAATTAGGCAGGCACAAAAACAACCTCCAGAACTGATAAACACCAACTGAAGCGAGGCAGATGTGCACTTGTTTCGCTGGTTCTGTGGATCTTTAGGGTTGCGGAAATAGTCCAAACAGAATAAGAGTAAAAGAAATAAGATAAAATGGCTCACATCTGCAGCCCATGATCCTGCTTCATCCCTGTGAAGTCTGTATGTGTAGACGTATCCGTTGTTCCTGCACACACATAAACACACAAACAACTTCACCCAGAGTTCATCTTTCAGTTTAATTGAATAAGTATTTGCCTCTACTGTCATCATTATTGCTCCTGTGGGACTCACTTTTCACACTTCATAATAGGTCCCCACATTTTTCAGTTAACACTCAGTTATATTGTTTATGTCTTTGTGCTTTTATTTTGTGCTTTTATTTTCTTAAATGTGAGGAGATCAATAACTCTATAATAGTAGAAAATAGGGTTATGTGTTGATTTGATTACTCAGGTCTCACAGAGAAAGCACAAGGAGAGATATTACACAATCTGGATTTATACTCACAGCACACACAGGCAGTAGACGCCATCCACAGAGTCACTGTTACGGACCAGGTAGCACCCATCCCGCCCGTCCTGGGCCAGCCGCCTCTCGCCCTCTTCTTTGCCAATGGGTCCGTGGTAGACAGGCAGGTTTTCCATCACAGCTCCTTTCCAGATCTGCTTTTTGTTCTGCTCCCAAGTGCCAGCTTTCTTCTTTCTCTCTTTTTCTCCCCTTCAACTTTTTACTGCAGGCGAGCCTTTTGGTCTTCACTGTGTATGTTCTAGACTGGGAACACAGCTAAGGCAGCTGTCCAGCCTCTCATTTGATATTTGGTTCTTGCTGTTTTAAATGTTTGTTAGGGAGCCCGAGCTTTGGCAAGCTAGCTTTCAGATTTTTCACGTTCTCACCCAGACTCTCTCTCACCTCTAACCTTTAAGGCTTGAGGCTCAGCCCTCTTGTTTCACTGAAAGACACAGACGTGTGCACATATGCGTGCACACTCGTGTGGGTTTTTTCATCTCTCAGGAAATGATTGTATTTTTCAACAGGAAATAACTTCAAAGATTCTAACTGAATATTTCCAGAAGAATAGAAAGCACAAGAGAGGGATAAAAAAACCATATTTCACCCTTTTCATACAGGAAACATATATTGTGCTTACGCAGTAACTAACAGTTTCCAGCTCAATTATCTAGAGGCCTTGCTTTGTTTTGTTATTAACAGAAGTGTGCTTACATTGTCTGTTTCCACTACAGTTTCAACTGTGAAGCATCACTTAGATCTTTTATCTACAGTAAGTAACCGTACGTAGTAGCAATGCAAGTAAAATACTCCATTACAAGTAACAGTCCAGCATTCAAAATAACTTAAATATGTAGCCAGTATTGTACTTTAAAATATATTACTTTTTTTTTTTAATGTTTCTATTATTAGCTATTTTTTGTGAAATAATGAGTAATCTTACCTCTTTGGGCCTTGGATATAACCATGTAATGCAGCTTTTGCACAAGATTTTGCAAGAATCTGTCTTGAAGGGCTTTAAGCTTTGGAATGTTTTCAAACCACAGTGGTTTAGACCAATCAGCATTCTACAGTATAAGGAACAACTGTCAGCTACTGCATGAGCTATGGATGCGGTTTACCACTAGGTGTGGTGATGACCAGTGCTGCGTAGCAAGAGATTACATGTAATGTAGTTGTCCAATGGATTACCTTACTAAGTACAAAATGCCATGTTATTTGAATTCAGTAACTGATTACATCTCAATGTAATCTAACTCAGTGTGTGTTAGCATAGATGCTGCTAGCACTGAAGGCTTTTCCTGATGGAAGAGTTGTAGAGATGTTTTTGCTCTTCTCCCAACTGGCTTTGGTAAGTTTGACTATGTTATATGATTGGTTGCACACATCCAATCACCTGCCTTTTTCCAAACTGTATTAAATGATGACTCTAAAGGTCCAGTGTTTAACATTTGGGAGGATCTATTGGCAGAAATGGAATATAATATTCATAGGAATGTTTTCATTAGTGTATAATCACCTGAAAATAAGAATTGTTGATTTTTCTTTACCTGAGCAGTTTTATCTACAGAGGGAGCAGGTCCTCCTCTATGGAGTCTGCCACGTTGAACCGCCATGTTTTTACAGTAGCCCAGAATAGACAAACCAAACACTGTTCTATATGAACAAAAGGTTTAGGAACCACTGATGACATTTTTAACCATAAACTATACTACTTAGTTTATAATATTTTTTTTATGTTGAATCTTAATCTGAAAAGTAACTGGTCACTGGCAGTACAGTATCTCCCTCTGAGATGAGGTAGAGTATAAAGTAACTCAAAATTATACTTAATATTTATAGCACTTGAGTACCACTGGCTGTAAAATATCAACAAAGACTCATTTACATTGAGGACTCTGTTGAATTAAAATGATATGTCAGAGGGAGACATTTTGTGTCAGGCAGGCAAAAACGTCTGTCACCTGCTGTTTAAAGGCTCCTTATAATTCTCAGCCCACATTTTATTATCACATGCCCACACTATATAACACATGTTCTCAGTCACATGTCGCTTCTCTTAAACATGTGTCAAGGACACTCAAGCCTGCTCTGTAGAACAGTGAGGAATCAGCTAATGAAGCTGTGGGCATGAACATACTGTGGAGCTGCAACAAACTCATCCTGCAATCTGTCCTGTCACTCGGAAAGTTATGTTGTGTCAAATTAAGAATCTGGTGATTAAAATAATGAATGTTTGCTGCAGTGACGTGCCATTCACATTTTACCACGCTGATAGCACAGCATCTGTTATTTGAAGCTCATCAGCCATGTGAGATGTATTTATTCTTGGTTTCCATGCTCTTCATTCACACCGTGGTCACGATTACATGAAGTCCTTCAGACTGCCAGGTGCCCCTGCATAAGACCCTTCAGAAAGGCAAACCGTATGATTGTACCATTCAGTAGCTTCCTTGAACTGGTAGCTCTCTTCAATGCAGAATTTGTTGAGGATTTTTTGTTTTTATACATTCAGAGCTGTAGCCTATACATGAGTCATCAGTCTATGTCAGAGCCATCTTTCCCTCGGCTCAGAAAGATCATGAGCGGTGGGACTTTGGGGCTCTGTCTGGGTAAGCAGCCAGTGGCATCTTATTCACTGCTTCTACAGAACTTTAGCGCCATCCAGTGGCAAACTTTGAAGGATTAGTGAGGGATAATCTGCAAGCAGCCTAAAGAAGTGGTTCCCAACCTTTTTCCTTAAGGGACCCCTTTTCTATCTTTGACTAAACTGATGACCCCTCACTAAGTGACATATTTTATGGATATTTCATATTATATTCAATGCATAGCAATAACAGTACAGACCAACTGATAAACTGTACAAAAGAATAGTGAATGCAACAACCGCAGGAGGTTTGTGTAAAACAAGCTATTTGGATGCATTTTGTGTAATTCCTGTGAATATTTCATCAGAGATGAGTTGTCTTGATATTTTTAGTAATGTTTTATACAATCCTCTGTGTGTATTATGTAAAAACAATCATAAAAACTTAGTAGGTGTTTTTTTATTTATTTTTTATTTTACAAATTCAGTGTTTTCCTCTCCCCAGTGCTTGGGTAATGTTCTATTTGCTCCCTGGTTGTTTTAACTGCATACCTTTCTGCATAGTTTGTCTTCATCGTGCTAATTTTTTTATGTCTTATAAATTATAATCAAAACTTTAAACATAACAGCTTTGTTTCTTTACTTCACAGAAATTAACAAAATTATGACCTATGGAACAACTGTATATTTTTGTAAACCGCTGTCTTAAACCCCTTAAAATCAAGACGGCCTCACGACCCCCAGTGAAGCTTTAGCGGCCCCTAGTGTAGGATGGCCTAAAATAAAGGACTGGAAGCCATTTCGGGAAGTATTTTTCTTCTTTATGGGTGCTATAATCTGTAAAAATATTCAGACTGAAATAGAAGAAACATTTACTAACATTATTAACTTAACTTTTTTGTTTAATAATCCCACAACACTAGTGCAAAAACAAAACCAAAAAAATGACACCATACTCCACTGGCTCTTAGCCCACAGACAGGCAGGCCAGGGTCAATGCAGAATGCAGTGGATCTATACTGCACACAAATAGCAGACAGAGATACATCATTGATTAGACGGCAGATCCCTCAACCAACACAACTGGCTGGACTGGAATGCATCATAAGGACATTAGTATGAGATTATGATATCTGGGCTTGATATGTACGGAATCCATGAGAGGCATTCTGGGAGGGGAGGAAAATGAGACTGAATGTCCATCTGCCAGGCCGACAGTAATCCCAGCACTCTCGTTCCCAGGTGGGGGGAAGCTCTCAGTCACAGCTGTTGGATGGTAAGATTTGGAAAAGGAAAGTAAAAATTGTACATCAGTTTCACAAAATTGGTGTATGTGTAGAATTGGACTAAAACCCAACAGAATGCCTTTTTTTTGTAAAAGAACAGTAGGAGTTATTTTGGTTAATCATATTAATCAAAGAAGTGGCACTTTCAGGGAAATATTGTTCACTTTATTTCTTATTAAGTCAAAGAAATGCAGGAATTTTCATTTTCCTTTTTTCATTAAACTGTCCATACAGAATAATAAAATGCTAATGTTACATGTTACATTATTACACATATAATATCTTGTCCCAAAGATAACAGTAAAAGTAGCATTGTTATGACTGGTTAATAATTATAATAGTTATACATCTCTATCTTATTTATGTTTTGGCCTGTTCTGCCCTACAAAGCCAAAATGCAGTAGCTACACATTCAGACAAGGTAGAGATAAAGGTCCAGTGTGTAACATTTAGGAGAATCTATTGGAATATTATACTCATATGTATGTTTTCATTGGTGTATAAGAATTGTACTTTCATTACCTTAGAATGAGCAATTTTCATCTACAACATATGTTTTATCTACATCTGTCCTCTTCTACAGAGTAGAAGCACAGTAGCCCAGAAAGGACAAACCTAACAATGGCTCTAGACAGGGCCTTACGCATTCTTTGTGAGTTTCCAACCTCTGCAGTTTCTCCTACACACTTGGAAGGCTGAGCTCTAGTGCAACTTCACTGCTAGATGCCATTAAATATTACACACTGGTCCTTGTGAATCTAAATTTCGTTATTTGTTTTACCATATTAAAAATTATTATGCCATAGAAATGTAGAATTTCTAAGGAAACATCATAGTTTGCAAAACTATAAAGCAGAACTAAAAAGCTCACCTTAAAATTAAAGCTGTCTCTTTAATACCTGTTTCTTGAGAAATTGACCATCCAACATCTTTGTAATTAAATGTATCATCCCAAATGAGGCAGTAGCTAGAGCCAACCACGATAAAGAAACAAACAAAAACAAACAACAGGAGCTGTTGAGTCCTGCCAAATATTACTAACCTAGCAGAGTATCTAACTTCCATCTCTGCCTTGACTTCCTACAGATTTAAGTTTTTCTTCTGCATCCATAATCCTACAATAACTGATTGTTGATCAACTGTTTGGTCTCATCCTCTTACGTTGAGATGAGGAATTTGATAGAAAATAGTTGCATCTATATAAAGCAACAATCTCATTCATTTTAAGTGTTTGTGTACATTTGTTAATGTACAGTAAGTCCAATATTCATCCTCTTTCAACTTTGTTTTTGGTCTACACAAAGTCCCGAGGGAAATATCTGTCTCTTTAGCTGCTAAATGCTCCACTATGTTCACTGGCTAGTCATCTGTCTGCTGTTTTGTGCTGAGCGGGTATAGTGTACAGTGGGCTTTGAGCTTTTTCAATAAAAACAGCTGCCTGCTGTAGCAATAAAGGCATTACATTTATAATTTATCTGTTCGTTGCACAGTTTGGCAACCAGTCTCAGAACTTTAAACCGTTTTTTCTCAGATTTATCTTGTCTTTAGTTACTTTTTTTCTGTCTTTGTAGGGCAGCATTAAGCTCTGCTGTCAGTTATAGTAACAGCTCCATCTCACACATCCATGCTTTTCAGCAGTCATTTGATGTTGGTATCGCTCCTTGGGGTGTGAAGCCAGTGGAGGGCAAAGAAAGTCTCCCTTCTGTAGGCTGGCTAGGCAGGACCAGAGGGCTCCACAATCGCCAGGTCTTTCAGGTCACTGAGTTTTCGAGAGAAGGAGCTCAGCCTTGTGCTGAAAGAGCCCCTCTTCTGGCTGTGATCTTCCCCACGGGCCTTCAAACAAGCACACAGACCCTTGCAGAGACCCCCGAGACGGCCCCGGAAATGGTTTCCAATGAAGCAGTAGAGCAAGGGGTTGATGGCCGAGTTGGAGAAGCCCAAGGAGAGGGTGAGAGGGGTGAGGTTGTGGATAGTCCAGTTTACCCAGCAGCTGTCCAACCAACCCTCGCTCTTCAGTACGTCCAAGAAGGTCACACAGTGAAAAGGGAACCAGCATAGGAAGAAGGCCAGGACCACAGCAGCTACTGTCCACAACACACGCTCTAGCCCCCTGCCCTCAAGGGTTCTGCCCGCGCTGGAGCTGGGGCTCACACAGGGGGTCGGGGGTCTCTCTGCTCTACCGCAGCTCTCCTGGGATTTAACAGAGAACATGTTGGGGGGGTTCTGCATTCTTACCAGCCCCGTATCAGCCATCAGATGTCTACCGATAGCATAGTAGCAACAAGTGATGACGAGCAGCGGCAGCAGAAAGGCCAGAACAATCTTCATCCAGGCCAGGGTCATATACCAGGTATGATTAGGATATCTAATCACACAGGCCTCCACACCAAGCCCCTCGAGGTAGTAAATTTCCCTCAGATACAAGGCAGGGGCTGAGCAAGCACATGCAAGGAGCCACACTAGGATGCATGTGAGCCGTGCACGTTTGGGGTCTCGAGCACTCTGGGAGCGGAGCGGATGCACAATGGCCAAGTAGCGGTCCACGCTCATGCTTGTGATAAAGAAAATCGATGCGTAGAGGTTGAGGTTGTGGAGCGCTCCACAGGCTTTGCAGGCAACCCAGCCAAAGGGCCAGTTGTATCCCTGGGAGTAGTAGATGGCCCACAGCGGGAGAGACAGCAGGAACAGGAGGTCAGACACACACAGGTTCAGCATGAAAGTGTTTGCGACAGTTCTCCTTGAGGCACTGGCATGAGCCAAAACACACACTGCCAGGGCGTTGGCTACGGTTCCCAGCACACAGATAACGCTGTAGATGGTAGGGATGACTGTGGTCATGGGTATAGGAGGCCAATCTGTGCAGAGGAGACCAGATGGGGCTAGAGAGGTGTTCAGATGGATCTCTGTTGTTGAATAAGGGGAGGAGGTGGAGTTGAAAAGGGATAGGTCATTTGGGATTGCCATTATGGAACTGGATGTAGTCTTGCGTCACCCAATTTGACTTCCCTCCTTTCAGTTTTCCAAGGTCAGCTGGAAATAACACAACAGAGATGCATTTACAAGTCAACTGCCTTTTATGGACAAAAAAAGGTTTTCCTACACAGCAACCTTTAGTTGGCTCCACTTTTTATTAGCTGTCCCACTTGATAACTAACAGCAAAAATACATTACACCATTCTTAAAGTTGGGCAGGAATGAAATACATATGAAGGGGTTGTAATAATCTGGCTGCTTAATGGATTCCTCAGGAACAATTATTTTGCATTAATGACTGAAACAAGTTTTTTGAAACATTCATGATTTAGATTTTAAAAAAAGCGCCAGCTTAATTTTAGATTTAATAGTTTTACAGAAGCGTTAAAAGTAACTGAAACAGATCCTATTACGATCCCGTGCACCAGAGGAATGGATTATTAATAGCAGAAATAACAAATAGAAAGGCAATAAGTAACATATGGGAAATTACATCTTCAAATAACTTGTTATATTATTATAATAAATAATTACACTGAGGTAGTTGAATTAGTGAAGAAAACTAGAAGATGTTCTATCAAATCAAACAAATATGACTAAATCAAAGCAAACTTAATACATGATTTCTACATATTTAAAAAATTTAAATTTTACCTCAAAATGGTTGAGCGTCCAGTCCAAGCAGTGGAGGGGCTTTCAATGCTTCTTTTGGCTAAAATCCATGTCTTGACAATTGCTCCTCGACCCCTCTAAGAGAAATCTGCACAGCTGAGTGCCCTGGACCATATCATGCGTCTGAATGTGTGTGTGTGAGGAGAAAACAGACTGGAGGCTCTGAGAAACCAGCTGAGGTTGGGGGTCTTATAGCCCCCAAGAGCCTCATGATGATTGCACAACAGGGAAGTTGCTTACACGTCACACCTTCATCATTACCAAGGGGCTGGACTGTACCTGGCCATAAGCCAGCCTGCAGAGCTCTATCTGTTTTTCATTCTATCCCTCCTTTTTTCCTCGCTCCCAGAGTCTCTACCAGAAAAGGCCAAAACTACGAAAATCAAGTCAAGATGTGTGTTAGAGTAATAGCTCTGTCTCCAGTGACTGCAGACACACAACCATGTGTCATACCTGACCATAATGAATAGGGCACCAGTGTGTTTGAGGTGTCAAACTTAAAGACCTAACTGTCCCTGCTGGGGCCTTTGACCCAAGGAACAAACACTGTTAGTTAATTAGCAGAGCCTCGCACTTTGTGTCATATTCGTCCTGCCAGCGGTCAGATAAGCCATGGGAAATATTTACTCTGTCTCAGCGGAAGTCAAGCCAGCCACTGGGGCAGAGGGAGAAGGGGGAGGCACAGTTTGGAAGACGAATGAGGAGGAGGACGAGCAGATACTGCAGGGAGTGAACGAGCAGATGAGAAGGAAAGATGGAGAAAAAGAGGAGGGAAAAAGGAGAGAAAGCGGAGATTTCCTCCAGTGGTTTTTCATTAAAGCCTCTGGTGAAAGTTAATGAGGGATGCGTACAAAGCTCTGAGACTGATTACATCACAACTCCTTTGATCAACGGCGTGAGCATGCAGCTCTCCCTCTGTGTGTGTGTGTGTGTGTGTGTGTGTGTGTGCTTCAATACTTGTGCAACTGGATGTACTTAATCACGGCCTGACGTGCATGCATCGACGCAGTGTGCTGGTCTCTGTTTACATGTGTGTTCAGATGCCTGTGTGCCCTCTACTCCATTGAGTATCTATCAAGATGTGACATGTTCTAATAGCCGTGGGAAAGCTGACGGTGAGGATGACGGATGAAGGCGAGACAGAAAGATTTTGAAGGCTGCAAATGAAGAGCTCCGTTGTTGCCTTCTTGTAGGATGTGAGAAATTGGGAATGCTCTGTATGTCGCAAAACTGTTAAAATGGGATAGTTATGCTTTCCAAAACGGAAACTTCATAATGCAGTGTTCTTTCACTGGCACGCTGGGTATGCACAGTTGTTCAAACACACACACACACACACACACACACACACAAAGAGAGAAGCCAAGGGCCCTTAGTCATGACATGCAGCAACTAAAAACAGAAATTTATGGTGTCACGCTGGCCAACACAAATAGAACATGACAGAAAAAAACAGAACTATGTCTCTGCCTCTGAATAGTTTCTACGTAATCCAGTGCTGAAAAGTATTTAAGTACATTTACTCAAAGTACTGAACTTAAGCACAATTTTTGCTGCGTTATAGTTCTACTCCACCAGATTTCAGAGGGAAATATTGCCCTTTTTAATCCAATAGATTTATGTGGCAGCAATAGTTAACTAGTAATCTTGCATGCAATATACAAAATGAGTTTATAAAACAAAATGCTCCCTTATAGATTAGACTACCCAACAGTGGCCACCTCCGCCTGACACATTAAACCCCTGCTTACATGTGCATGTAATCAGTAATCAGCATGGATCAGGAATAATAATCAAATCATTTTACATAACATTTTTAAATTGAAAGCGGATACTCCCCACGATGAGTGCTTTTATGTTTAATACATTCAGTGTATTTTGGTGATGTTATACTGACTTTCTTTTATGTTACTTAAGTAACACTTAAGCTATGGTAGCAGCTTTGTCTGCCATCCGAACACACACCATCTGGTCCAAATTTAAATGTGTCCGATACTTTTGCTTATGACCACATACTCCTAGCCTCAGCTGTACTTTGTGTCATTGCTATTTAGCACAGTAGGATAAGATAGTGAACATAGTATAAACATTATAGCTGTACTCAACATCAGCATGTTATAATAGTCACAGTTAGCATGCTGGTGTTAGCAGCCTCACAGAGCTGCTCGCATGGCGGTAGGCTCTTAGTTATGTTACACTTTTGTGCTTTTACATTAAATTCTTACTAGCATAATTTTACTCGAGCAAAGGAGCTGACTACTGTTCAGTCAATATTACTTCCACTTGTTTTTTTATCTCAGAATGGCCTCTGTTAGCCATTCTTTGGCCTTTGTCAACATTTGGAGAGTAATTTCACTCATCACCTATCTCCAGACAATCAATCCAATCGGCTGGTAGTGCATGTTGATAGTTTCACTTTCTTTATGGCATTCATGGCAAGCAGAAACATGTTCCTGCTAATTAAATATTTTTTGGTGGGGGTGTTAGATGCACAAATTGAGTAGCTGAGCGATTAACAGTTTGAGAATGTGTGGGAGTGTGTGTGTGTGTGTGTGTGTGTGTGTCTTTGTGTGTGTGTCTGATGATCCAAACACAGGGATTTAGTTACAGCGTTGGTACAGGCAGCAGATAAAGAGAGCGATGGAGCAGAGAGCATCAAACCTCAACTTACATCACAGCTGTTACTGGACATCTATCTTCTAGCCAATTATTTTTTCAGTTTTTATTTTTTCCTGGATTAAAAACATAAAAATGGTATTTTTAACTGTAGCTTGTCAAACGCTTTTCTTTCCTCTGCACTCATTAACAACTTAGATGTACTTAATATATGTCTGTGGATGTTGTTAGAACCAAAACAGCTCAGATGTCAGTTGTCTGCAACATGTGTGTGTGTGCATTATGTGCTGGACAGAATGAACTACAGACATCTAATTTTATCAAGGGGGGAGAAAAATATAATATATGTATACTACACATACTGACCCCTATAAATAAAGACGTGGAAGATGTACACAAGTGAACATATACTGTATTCACAAACCCCCTTAAATTGCTTACATAATTGTTATGTTTATATTTTTTTGCTGATAAATGTGCTATGTGTTTATTTCACGGTGGGGGTCTCCCTCGCTGGCCGGACCCTGGGAAGATAACCACCAAAAACCATAGCCCTCACAAAGTCCTCTGTGGAAAATCTGGCTCACTGGGGTGAAAGGTCAGGGGTCAGGGTTGTGAGCCCCGCTTCCTCTCTGCTGGTCAGGACAAATCTTCGAAGGCTCTGGACTACATGACAGACTCCAGTCGTATATTAGTTCTCATAATCATAGCTGCTTGTGTGGGATCCTGTAAGGAAGGGGGCCCCATATGTGTAGGGGACCCTTGAGGGAGGTGACATGAGGCTATACTTAGCATCTGAAACCTCTAACACTGGTCCTCAGCTTATAGTGACAAGATGTCCATGTGAGAAGAAAGGATTGCACAGATTTCCAGCATTCCCGCTCTGTATGTTCTATTTTCAACTGAGTCAATATGTTCCATGTGGTTTTATTAATGCTGTTTGTGGATAATAATTCCAGGACAGGGGCTGTTTCTGGAGGGTTTTTTTTTATCAGAACATTTGGCAGTGCTTGTTTAAAAAAACAGCCCTGCTCACGAGTCCCTTAACCCCTTGACTCAAACCAGCAGCACAAACTGTAGCTCCGATGCCAGAGGAAGCCTGGTTCCCATATGTGTTTTTCTCCATGTATAACAGAAGAAGGATGAGAAAGTATTGACATCCAATTGATCTGACATCTCCCGCTCTTACACACATATGTGAGCACACAACACACCCACACACACAGCGTCCCAGGGGTCATGACTTTGGTCAACCTCATGCAGAGTTTATGAGGTCCAGGCAGCTCCAGTTCCTCTGAGGGGCAATAAAGAAGCTATAAAGATGTTAACAGATAGCCTGGTCCTGTGGTACAAACTGTGTGCTCACAGAAAAAAGCAAGAACACGTGGCACCGAAAATGCTTTCAAGTATATACATGACATTCCCACACGTTTGTGTTCCTCAAAATAATCATTTCCACGCTTATTATTTGTCCATTTGTACTGTACTTTTGTTTCAGGAAACCACAATGACTGTTTCACTTGGGATCAGATTTACGCGCAGACCATTTGTACTTTACTAACCAAAGAAGCAGCTCTCTTATGAGTTAGTTTCTGACTTGCAAAAACAACAACTAGGTTCGACTAAATGAGTATATTGTAACAGAACATGTAATGAGACTAAGAGTCTTTAGCCACACTAGGAGCTCTGTGAGGCCATGCATACACACCGTGCTGCTTTGAGCTAAATGCTAACATTGCTGTTGTTTAACAGGTCCTGACCTGTTCGTCATCTTAGTTAGGATGCTAACATTTGCTTAACAGCACAAAAAATAGATGGGGAATGTCTTTAGTTCTGCAGGTATTAGGTTATTAGGGTGATAACGTAAGTACTGAAAAAAGTAAACAGAATATTGACCTAAAGGAGCTAGAGGAAATGTCAGAGATCAGTAAAATGATTAAAATTCATCCTGAGTGGGACTTGAATGTGTTTCACGCCAATAATTGTCAAGATAAGTCACCCAAAAGCATAAGTAAATCTTATGATGGCAATAGGGGAAAAATTAGGGTATCATCATATGTCTGGACACAATTGTATACCAATCAATCCTGTGGATGTTGAGATATTTCACAGAATATGTAAACATTTTGACCTGTGAACTGAATACTTAAATAAAAAGCAAAAATGTTAACCTTATGGTGGCCCTAGATGAAAATCAACAAACTGTTTGTTTGGGCAATTCAACTGAATCCGACTAATATATTTTCCACAATATACTTTGCAACACCATATAATCTCTAAAAACTGTAACGGAGCTCAATACAGAGCTTTTCAATCATTTCTGAGGACTTTTTAAGTTTACACCAGTTTTGACCATCAGTGGTAACATGGGAGACATCCAGAATGTGAGCCATACATGTGAAAGATGTTTTGAAAAGACTTGTAAATATGCTTGAATAGAAGCTCACAAGGCTCACCAGAGATTTCATAACCTTCGCCATTTTGAAGGGCATGGATTGGTGAGGTGAAATCTTTAGTTTCTATGATTCATTTATTCTTAGGTTTTCCCTGTTACAGTTTAATATTCATAATGCTGACCACACATTGTTGTGTGTTGGGTTTGTTGTGGTTTGGTACAAACAAATATATTGCCTTATGTGAAACAGAACTTCACCAAAAGCCAATTATCTGTGCACACAGTTAAACCCCACAACAAGGAGTTTTAACTGGTTATGAAACAGTCTAAATTTAATACCGATGCCTCTATATGACCTACATAAACAAACAAGACCACTGACGAGAAGATTCACTATTTCTGTTAGGAGGATGCCAGAATCAACACAAAATTAAAGTTCCTTGTTGCTGCTTTACGTTTGAGTTACTATTGCCTATAGAAAAATGTAGGCTTTAACATTTCCTTGAGGAGAAATGTATTTATGTGATTAAGGTGTGATAGAAGACAAATTGCATTCTTGTTAAGCTGCTCATTATTATGATGATTTAAGAGCTAGTCTTTTTAGTAAAATTTAATACTTTTTATTTGGTCTGAGGATTATAAAAAAGGGCTTTAGGAAGAAAGCCTTTTTGTGTCCAAAGTTATTTGCAGGGTTTCCGGACAGAAGACAAAGTTCTTTGTTTGTGATAATATGCAATATGTAAGTTATATGCCTATGTGACAAATGTTTTACCACTGACACTATATGTCTGGTACCTTATAAGTCTGTGTGTGCTGAGCACTTGTTGCGATACCAATAAAAAACACAACCAATACTGACAAGGAACTACTGAGTATTTGACAAGACTCAACATGAAATTGTGAAAAATATAGATTTATTTTTGGTTCTAAACAACTTAGGACAATCTCTGACGTAACAAACTGGAACAGCACAAGTCCATCTTGTAATCATTACCAGCACACGTTCAGTATTGTCATCTTACCAATGCAATGGGCTAAATTACAATAAATAAAAGCGCCACGCAGTTAAAGTTGGAGCACAAAAGCCATTAATTGTTAAATGACACATACAGAGAGAACATTTCACAATCTGCCATCTGTGAATTAAAAGACTTGTAAAAGGATGTGGGTGTATTTTTTTCCAGGTTTCCATCCTTTGCAAACCATCAGCTCTTTGTATCACAATTCACTGCATTACTGCTAGAATGCAAATGTACTTGGACCTTTTCTGTAGAAAAATAATAAATGATGTGGGGGGAGGAAATGAGAATGGAAATGTTGATGAAAGAGTTTATAACTCTGCTTGCTTGCAAAATGGCCTATTTACACTGCATAATGATACAGACTGTTAATGTGAATGAGATGTGAGATGGCAGTGTGGGAATAAGGTTTCTCCTGCAGCCGACTGTGGTATCTCAGCTGCGTGTGCTGTACAGGTCTTCATCCTCAGGGTTGGACTGGCCAAAGTCCATTACAGCAGGGTCTGGCTTGAAACCAGAGCCACCTGGAGGACAGCAAGAGAAATGCAACAAAATCTCAGTCACAAGCACTGAAATATTTCATGTTAAACTTTAAGGGATTTAGCTGTTCTATTTACCCAGACTGACAATAAATGCATCAATAAAATAAACTAGAATTACTAAATAACTAAAATTAAAACCAACCAAAAATAAAGGGTAGTGGGGTTAAAGCTGCACAGTTCTGTGACCATACAATACTAGTGATCTAGTGTTCAGTACAATCGGCATTGAGCACACTGACCCATATTTGCACAAATACACAACATCTCTTCCTAGAATTACCTAAATTCCAAGTCATCTGGCTGTGCTAGGTCTCGTGTCTAGGCTGTGCTCTTTCCCGATCCAGATAGGATTAAAATTCATTTGATTACCCTTCATCGAAATTGTGGAAAGAAAGAAAAAAAAAAGCTGTGGAAATCCGTGTGAGCAGATGGCAAAACCAATGAATAAATAAATCTATGGACTGATAAACCTAGTGCTAGTCAGTGGATCAAAATAAAAGTGAAGGAGGGGTAGACCGTGTTAAACATAAAACAAATATCCACATACAAAGCACATATTGATATATAACATGTGTTATATGTGTTATTAGCTGCACCTAACAGAGTAACAATGAGCCACTCAGAGTTGTTGTTTTAGAATTTTGTTATAAACAAAACATGATTATTAATTTTTTATGTGAAGTTTAAGGTTCACGTCTCATCTTTAGACCAACCTGCTCTCATGGAATATTGATGAACTATTGTTATTAAGAATAAAACAAAAAGTAAATAAAATACATAAAAAAAGGCATTTGGATGCTTCTTTGTCTTGAGGAGTACACATATAGATGACATCTGCAGCAACGTACAACAGGAAATTTATTTTCCTAGGAGACTAGGACTAGACTGATATTATTTTTACAATGTAGAAAACAGTGTTATGCAATATGGGATCGCTGAATCATACAATTATATTTCTGGAGGTATCCAGATGTTGACTCTTACATCAGATCCCTCCCATGTTTTATTTGGTGGATATTATTCTTTGCTGTCTAACAGAAGAATCCCACAGGTTATGGTACAGGAAAATGCTTGTAGAAGTAGGAATGGGAATTAATAAGATTTTATTGATACCAACACCATTATCGATTCCGCTTATCGGTCAGATTCTTTATTGATTCCCTAATTGATTCATGATCAATTTTCTGTGTGGAAAATAGTATCTCTACATGGGTTTTCAGCATTATCTCCGAGTCTGAACACAGTGTAGAAACAGAGTAGAAAAAGGCATTCAGGAGACTCATGTCACATGAGTAGAGAATCACAACATTCCTGGAATTTCAGGAATGTTAAGCAGAAAGATGTTTCAGCATATTACTGGTGCTTCCACCATTACTTGAAATTATCATTACAACAAACACTCTTGTCCTACTTATTGTGAAATCAAGAATTTTGTTTCCTCCTCCCTGCCATGACTCATTAAGTTTCCAACAGTGTACACGCATGTGTTTGACGTCAAAGTGCAACTTTCAGAAAAACGTGCCAGCGTCGATAAAAGGAATCGATAAGCTCGGGCGCGTAAGATTTCAATTAATCACACAATTTGTAACTGGTTCTCAACTGGAACCGGGTCTCGATTCAATATGTACCTGTCTACTGTATGTCAAACACTGAATGTTAAGGAATTAAATGAAGTGCACTGAAGCTGTTTTTTTATTGTTGTGCTGTACTTGATTGTTTTTTCATGTCATGCACGCACGTTTCCGTGGAAACTGGCAATAGCAAGATCAAATCTCAGCTTATCTAACATCTGGATACTTAACACCACACAAACTAACAAGGTGCCCACATTTACGTGTCTCGGAGCTGCAGTGTGTCTGTGTGTTTCAATAAGTCAAAGCTCAATTCTTAAACCTGAGAAGTGGTGTGGGTGCAGCAGGTGTTCACAGTACCTGTTCTATTTTCTACTGCAGGCTGTTGAGGAGGTGGTGGTGTGAGTGTTGGGTTTAATGTCTCCTCCACAGCGGCGACTTGTGGTGGGTCAGCTAACTCAGGTTGAGGAGCAGGATCAGGATCAGGTTCAGCTGATTCAACAACTGGCACTGTGAAGAAATCAAAATACAACACAGGGTCAGCAGCATGAACTGATGAAAGCTATTGTGACTTTATACTAATATTACAATGTAATAGTAATAATGTTCTAATAAGAAGAGATGTAGAAACAGGTTTCACAAACTTTTTACTTATTGTATCATTTCAGTTGTCTTCCATTTTTCACAATTTTCCACACTGAAGTAGTTCCTTCAGATCCAATGAATCCACTTTCCAACAGTGGTTTTCCAAGTAAGCAGATTCATTGCTAGTACACTTTCTACAATATGGGACAGAATATTTCTGGTACCTGCTGGTTCGTCTGAGGACTTTGGAACAGGTAGTTCTTCAGAGGAAGGAGCAGACCCGACTTCAGCAGACTCAGCTGAAGCAGACTCCAATGGAGCAGACTCGGCAAGCACAGGCTCGATTGGAGCAGACTCGTCTAGAGCAACCTCCACTGGAACAACAGCCACTGGAACAACAGCCACTGGAACAGACTCAACTGGGGCAGTTTCAGTTGGCGCAGCCTCTGTTGTCTCCAGTTCTATGCTCGGCGTGGACTCGGCTGGGCTGGTGTCGGTGGAGACGTCCTTTGCTGCCTGTGAGGGCTCTTCACTTTCAACAGAAGCAGGTATTTCCTCAGGAGTTGCGGTGGTTTCTGTCTCTGCTGGTACTGAATGTGCCACTGGATCTGGACAGGAGAGGAAATACAGTAAATCATCAGCAGAAGCCTTTCTGTGACTGAAATGAAAGAGATGGAGACAGAGAAGGAATCCGACAGTGATCAATATCTGTAATACCTGTGCTGGTCTCTGTAGGGGTCTGGTCGGGGGATATCTCTGCGAGTGTTACTGATGACAACTCCTTTGTTACGACAGCAACAATTGGCTCATCAGAGACAGGAACAGACTCAGCTGATTCCACCTCTGTCTCAGGGATTGTAGAGCTCTGGGCTGAGCTGGCCTCTGAGGCCTCCTCAACTACTGAAGACTCTGGATTTAGCACTGTAGTTGCCTAACAACATGTGGATAAAAAAAATCAAGACTTAAATCTGTTCAACCAAGACATGCATTCATTATTCTATTTTAAAAGATTATTATGAATTTCACCATTTGATTAATCACACTAAAACTGTACTTGTCAGGGACACATGTGACATGTAATCTACAAACAGAATAAAGCACTAGCTTTACAATTTTCTTGAACATTTCAGTTCTAATAGGTTAGATTTATTACACTGGAGAGAGAAATGTAATTGCTTACATTAACATTTTACATTTCAGGCATATTGCTGGCATTACAGAGCTACTTCAACAGCAATATAAGCCCAGATTTTTTTTCATGTTGCACATTGCAACAAAGATGCTAAGTACAGATTGTATGATTTCTATCATTGTATGGTTTGACTCAGGTTATATCCTTTGTCAGTCAGAGTCAGCGTAGGGCAGGTCTCGTAACAACTGTAATAAATGTTGAAATACTCTATTCCTCCTTTAGCTGGAAATGCCCAACAACCCACTCAAGGATCCCTGTGGGTCCCCAGACCCAAGTTTGAAAACCTCTGATATAAGTGTTAACTTCCAGATCAGAGAAACCTTCAAATGACTATGTATGAAGCAGAAAGAGCAAAGTAAAAGCAACACAACAATCATCATGAAGGGCAAAGAGTGGTGGAGAAAGTAAAAAGCGCAGGGTGGAAATTGTTGGGTAGGAAAATGGTTTATAACCACTGAACCACTGTTTTGGTTTTAGTCACACATCTTTAAAGTACTTTCCATTCCAAACTAGTTGGTTACAGACATGCATAAGAATTGTAATAAATCTGTTCAGTAACTCAATATGACTGTTAACCTGTGGTAGTGAAGCAGCAGTCTCTTTGGCGACAGGCTCCTGGGGCTTGGGGGTGAGCAGGGAAGACACCGCAGCACTGCTCCACTGCCCTGCAGCATACACCTTCTTACCCGTCACCTGGGGAGAAAAAGACAATGATAGTGATAAAAACTGTGAAATAATGAGGTTTGTAAGAGGGATCAGCTTTTTAAAATGTAGTGTTTACCTTTAACACGGCCACTGCTTGGGCTGGGTAGCACACTGAAGCTCCTGCACTCATCAGGCCCATTGGAACGGCTACCCTCTTGAAACGAGAGCCTAAAATCACAATGAACAATGGCAATCATTGTTAGGTTTAGTGAACAGGTGTGTATATTAGGAATTAATTAATTTAGTAATATTCATGTTTAAATGTCATTTAACTGACTCCCCCACAGAGAGAGGTAGACAAATAATAAAGAGTTCTGTGAAAAGTAAAACAGAAACTTTGTTCGTTATGTGTTGTTCTTCTTACCTCTGTGGTTTTAGCAGTAAGTGAAACTTAAACAGCTGTGGTCTGTGAATATTAATAACCTGTGAACTCGCTTTTCTCACTGGGTCAAAAGCAGGTTAAAAATGCTTCAAATAAAACAGTAGCAAAGACTTACACAAGGTATACAATATTTATACAACGTCATATTCACACGTCCACATTCTGGGTGGCATGACAATTAAAATGTGAAAATGCTGTAAACATAAACAAAAAACTACAATGCTTTATTTATTATGTATTGCTGTTATTCACATTACCACGCAGCTGCGGTAGAAGCACTAAACTAGCTTGCACACCTCTATGATATTGAAAGGGACTCACGGCAGTGACTTTTTTTTAATCAATGCTAAACAGCCTGTTTCAAATAGAATGGTGATACATCTAATTACTACATATTGAACGTTTAGATTTCCTGTGGAGAAAATTCGTACAAAACCATCCATTATGTCCCAGTTTACAATGGTACAAAGGGAAATATTAGATGGTTGCCTACGAAAGGAAACAACATTCTTTGATTATAACAGATGGTCTACATACAGTAGGGCTGAGTGAGGGAGTCTTTGAGCATCAACCAAATTGTGTATGTACTGCAACACCCAGTATCAAACGCTTTTTTAGGTCTCATTTACTTTTAGTTTGTTCAGGCTATGACTGTTTGTGTAAAGATGACACTAAACGAATGCATTTGTTAAATCTGTTAAATGAAAACAGATGTCAGAAAACCTGAAATTGTATATTTGTGGTAAAATGTGATAATAATGAGCCCAGGTGCTTAAATTGTTGGCATATGTATACTGAAATTTCATTTAGGTTATATAATCATTTAATACAATAATGTGATCTGACATGACTCTATATGACCATTTATGTGGATACATTTCATAATGTTTAATCTGGGTTTTATAGTGACTAGAGATTAGGTTACCTTTCCGTGCCAAGAACATGCCAAGTAGGCCAGCCATGGTGATGGTACCGAATCTGGGTAGAAACTCCGGGGGAGGGTCTTTCAAGTAATAGTACACATCTGGGAAACACAGGAACACAGTCAACATGATGACAAATATTCAATTTTGAACTGTTGTCTGACCCTCTGCTCATATTGTGAGATTATTTACTACACTAGCAGTAGTAACAGTAAGAGCGTTGACGATAGCACAATAATAACATTACTATTATGTAGAGCTTTTGTTGCATATTTTCTTAGGGTTGGGGAGAAAATAAATGCCACAGAGAAACACAGACAGTCATAATTCCTCATTTTTCTTGCAATTATGTGATTTCTTTTTAGAGTGTCACTAAAACACATGTGTTTAAGGCACCAAAAGTTTGTTAAAAATCCCTGTAGAGGTAATATATGTAATAATGTATAATATGTATTACATTATTCCATCTAACCGCTTTGTAAGGAAGGGAAGGGATTAAAATTTTTAGTTTTGTGGAGGAATATTAGTTATGTATGACACCTTAAGGTGCCTACTGTTGACTCACCCTCTCCTGCATGGTACAGATTAACAGTTCCCTTTTTCACAGAGACACAGGCACCCTGCAGGGAACAAAGAACAGAGCTGAAATCACCCACTACAACAGGCCAGAAAGAACACAACTATGTCGACGATACTGAAACGGATACATCTGAGTCAGTGTGAAGTGGTTTTTTTCCCCCATCTTCCACAGTATCAAACTGTCAAATCTCCTTGCAGCAAAACCTCACAGCTGCAGCCTTAACTACGTGAACCCTATTTCCTGTCTGACTCCTTAACATTGTTGTTTGCAAAATCGTACCTGCACAGAGCATTTGCAGCACGTGGGATTGTGCTCTGTAACCGCAAACAAGAGGAACAAAAATCAGGGTTGAAAAACTAAAAGCGCAGGTGCAAGATAAGAACTCTTCGATGTGTTTTAGCTGGTGTTCCATTTATGTAACACTTAAATTCATCCATCAGGGGGTTGGTGTTTTTCCGTTTAATGTTAGAGAGGATGTGAAAGTAAGTGTGAGTTAACACTGTAGATGCACACAGCAAAAGGTAGATACCTTTACAGCCTGGAAAAATGGCTGTATGCTCTCTCTCGCTGTAGTTAACCCATTCTGAATAACACCTGGACTCTCTGGAGCAAAATGAGGCTGGGCAGACTGTGGCAGGGGGGTGTAGATGTTCAGCTGGGGACAGAGGGAGAATCAGGATGTAATTATGACGCGTAACACTTCAGCGAATAGCAATCAGTTCCCTCCTACCAGATCTGCTGACGTTTTGGGACAGCCATACCTTCTCTCGTGTGACCAGCCCATCAGTGGCCGCTTCCCTCACAGTATACACACGGATGGAGGCTATGCTCAGCACCGTCGGGACGGCCACTATCACCACCTAGCATACAATAAAAGCACAGGGCAAACTTTAGTGTCCGTCAGCTCATAGCAGCAATGCAAACTACTGACAGAAACTAATCACTAATAGGCACATGACTCATGTGGACAAGTGCTGGAAGAGGTAGATGCTTTACATATGTAAAAGTAGGAAAACCACAATGTTAAAAAGTATTCAATTACAAGAGGTATTCGGAGGCAAGACTCCACCTTATTAAAAGTGCATAAGTATGACAATATTAAATATAATAGTATATTAAAGCACCCATTATCCAGAACTGCTCATTACCCAGTGATGCTGTATGATTATGCAGCTATATCATATTAAAGGTATGATTATTATTGAAGGACTGACACGTAAACTGAATGTTGTGTACTGTGAGTACTTTTATCTCTAACATGCGTCACATTTTAAACATTTATAGTATGTGTGGTGTGCAAAATATTTATTATATTGCTAACTATCATAAAATGTTACATAAATATACAATTAGAGGAGGCAGAAATACCTCAAACATTGTACTTAAACACAGCACTTAAGTGAATGTGTTTCGTTATCGGCCACCACTGACACACATTTTGCATTAGTGTACACAACAGCACAGTATGTATAACTCACTATACAATAACTACATGTAAATAGATATTGGGGGCTTACTTGCACCAGCCTTAAACTAAGCTAACTAACCTGAACGGTGGTCGTATGGATTAAAAAACAGTCGATGTGGACTGCTAACAAAACAAGGGCTTACAAATAGGAAGATATATCAGCTGTCAGGCATGCTTACGAGACATTTAATGGTGGGGAGCACTGCTCGCACTGCTGTCCGCTAACGTAGCAAAACGCTGCCTAACATAGCATCGACTCATTCAACGAAGCTAATACAGTTAGCACAGCTATGTTCACGGCTGCTCAGCGTTCAATTAAAAGCCTAGAAAGTGACAGTCGGTTCAAGGTTGCTGTAGCGGCTCCGGGACAGCGCATTTTATTGAAAATACACACATAAAAAAAAAACTTTAGCGACGAGGAAATGTCAAGCATTCACCTTGGCCGCCATGACAGCGCTCCTCCTTCTTCTTTGGACGCTCAGAGGCAGCTGCGACTGGTCCAAAGCCCGGTCAGCTACTGCCACCTGCTGGACTGAGGAGGCACCTGCAGCCGCCTGGTGGGCTATTATGGTGATCTCATTCAGCACATTGTTCTCAAACCAGTAGCTACACTGGTGAGGAAGGTTGTAATGTCGATTTGCATGTATGTAATTCAAATGTGAAAACATCACTTTTCATGTTTTAAAGTGATTTGATGATGAAAGTGATTTAACTGTTACAGAAAGTGTAATTGTCAAGATAGAAAAGTTCATCTTGAGATCAAATTGAAGCTTATGAACGTGGGGAGTTTCCTATGTACAAGTGAGGCAGTTATTCAACATAAAGTGCTGGACAATAATATGTTTCAGTGTGGATTTGTCATTCTGAAGTGTCTTTGTGGGTTATATTTTTAAACAAAAATGACCTCACGCCCCAGAATCTCATTTGGTACTTTCCCCTTTGTTTCAGAATACTCCCTGTCATTTTTCATACAATAATTGCATACAGAGTCATAATGTATGTACATTTACATAATTTTGCCAAAAAAGGTTGAGACCAAACAGCCCTGAATTGGTTGGAATTGTTATTAACCTGTGGTGGACCAAGATATAGGCTAACAAGAAATAATAGTAAAAAAAGGTACCTGACGGGTGGACCTGGCTCCTGTCCTACTGAAGTTCCGCATGTAAAGTAATATGCAGTGGTTTATTAGAGGCAAGGCAAGGTGGACTGTAGACCCAGGGTCCTAGACCCCTAAGACATTCAAAGTTTCCTGCAAGTCTCATGGTTTGGGTAATTTCATTGGCACAACTTGTGGTGAATAATTTTGTGGCCATGTCTTGAAAAGCAGTGGTTCCCAACCTTTTTCCTTAAGGGACCCTTTTTCTGTCATTTAGTAAACTGATGACCCCTGACTGAGTGACACGTTTTATGGATATTTAATATCAAATTCAAAACTGTACAATGAATCTTAACAGTGAACTCAGTAAATTTGTGATTTGGATGAATTTTTAGCAGATTAGTTCCTGTTTAGGGAACTTTGTATGCAATTTCTCTGTCTGTATTTAAATTTTTTTTTTTTTTTAACAATCATACAGATTTCAGTTCAAATTCACTGTTTTCTTGTCCCTGATGCTTAGCCATTGTTCTATTAGACAATTAGTTTACTTTACAATTACTTTTCTTCACAAAAGTGAACAAAACACTGAGATATAGGCCTACTGTGTGTATTTTTTCAGTTTTCTAGCATGCCTTAAGCAAAGGCCTCGCGACCCCCTGTGAAGCTGTGGGTCCCACCCACAGGTTGGGAAGCACTGTTGTAGAGGGACTCTACACAACAGGTTAATCTGTAATAGGAATCCTAAAAACAGCTGAGAACAAAGAAGAATCACTGGATGCTTCAATACATGTCCCACACATGCATGCTCTTTATACTAATGCATGCAGCTTATCTGAACTGAAAACTTTAAATTGCATAGGTGTGAATGTAAGTGTGAATGGCTGTATGTGTCAATGTTGTGTGATGAACTAGAGGCTATTCACACAGCCACCTCGCACCCAGTGTGAATAGCCTCCTTCCTCCTGTGATCTAAGTGAGCATATAGGTTGTTAAATCATAAGTCTCCTCCCCACCTGCATCATTGCTACTTCATAGGTAAAAGATGGATGTCATGGATGAATACATAACGTGCTTACTAGTTAATCTTAGTAATTATTTGCTTATGAAGAGAGCAGGTAAGGGATCAGTTTGCTTACATATACAGATTAGCTATTTCAGGAAAAGAACATATTGTATGGCTTCTTGGTTTATAGGTTGACTGACCCCTTCCCCTAATTTTAAAACTGGTCATCTTTGCCCCGGTAACATAAGCACAGAACACCCTCTATGTTGTTTCATTGAATCCAAGAAAATGTACACATAAACAGAACATAGCTCATAGTGCAGAGGATTCAGTTTATTGAAGTCAAAGTTTAACAACTTAAGTTTACAATCTGTATTTTTTGTAATATATATTCATATATATGAAACCAAAAAAGGCTACTTTAGGAAGAATAAATGTCATTTTCTTTCTTTTTTAATATCATCTTTAGTCCGTTTAATGTACAGAATAACAGTAAGCTAATATTATCCTTGAAAAAGAGCAATATGTTCCTTTTTTAATGTCGCAGTGCAACTTACATCTTACACACCTGTGCAATGTACCATGAGGTGTACACCCCTGAAAGAACACACAGTGGAATCTCCCTTTTCGGCCTGTTTCTGCAGGTCTACACACACAAAGATCTGGGAGGGATAACACAGTCTGTGCCTACAAATCATAACTGGCACTCCTTAATCTACAGTATGTCGTCTGCTCAGCAGAGCAGCCGTTGGAAAAAGAAGACCAACATTACAGATGAGAAACGTAGAGAGGTCTGCAACTACAACTGTATTGTAACTCTTCTACAGCTGTGTATGTGTGTGTGTGTGTGTGTGTGTGTGTGTGTGTGTGTGTGTGTGTGTGTGTGTGTGTGTGTGTGTGTGTGTGTGTGTGAGATCGCTAGTATAGTCAGTCCATCGTTGCCAAAGAGAGGGTTGGGAGGCACAGGGAAAGTGCTTGCATCATTTAGTTTCTTTGTGGTACTCTCAAATTAACCATTCAAAAAACATGAGCTATATCTCTGGGGTGTGTTTGATATTTCACGACAGTGTGATATGATGACAAAACCTGAACCTACACTCAAAGAATTACAGTAAAATATGAAGAATAAGTACAGATAGTGCTGGATGCAGCAGGTGCTACGCATGTCTCTCAGAGTCTTAGACACTGGGGGGCACCGTTGAGTCCTTGGCCTGATATTGCAGATGAAATGATTCATCTGAGTTTCACAGACATTACAGACCAGTATCAACCACTTGCTTGGAGGGAATGTCAAAATAGCTTTTCTTTTAGAAGTAACTGTACTGTTGTCTTTCAGGTAAGATTCCTGAAGCCTTTAGACATGTGTCAGTCTTTCTATGTAAACCAAAACATCAAATTGAAACCTCCTGGTAGCATGCTAAAGGAGGATCTGCATTAGATCAAGTAACTGAGCAGCAAAAATGCCTCCCTCAGTTATTGTACAGTGTGTGTCTTCAAACACTATCTAATGAAGAAAAGAATACATCAAATCTATGAACATATAAATAAAAAGTCATTCTTAAACAGTACTTTTGCATGTATCATGCGCTACAAGTCTAATTTATCTTGCAATCATGAGAGGAAGATAAAAAATAAAAAAAATAAAAAATAAAAAGAACACAAATGATCCACAATATTTTACCCTGTCCAATCAAATCAGTCCCAAGCCTTTTCTCATGCAACACATCACCAGGAGAAGGGTCAGCCGTGATGTAAACCAGTAAAAACTGTCAATCAACTGTCAATGATGGTGGTTGTTGTTGTCTGCCTCCTAGTTGTTCAACTGCTAAACACCCTGCATCTACAGAGTGAAGAGGGGGACACTGCAAAACCTTGGCATAGAATACATCATACTTTACATTATATCTATGACACAAAACGTAAATAGATTTATATATTCTTCTATGTTTAAATATATTTGTAGACTGTACACAAATCTTTAGAAAATGAGACGGCAAATGCTTTTACCTGATATTTTGAACAGCAATGGTAAAGAGGCCGATGAAACATAGACCCTGTGATGCAGCCAATGAGATAGAGATATAGAAAGTGCATTCTTTGTAGTGAGTGACTCCTTTGAAAAGAACTCTCTAGCTCTTGCATTCACTGTTTAAGAAAAAAATGGGGGAAAAAAACTGTTTTGCACCCACGCAAATACATACTCTCTGTCTTCCCTCCGCTACCTCTAGAAGCATATCACAGTGGTAGTGGAACGCAAACATTTACATCAGTATACACAGCAGTATACACATATACACAAGTCTTTGAGGACTAGAGAGCGAGAGAGAGCGAGAGAGAGAGAGAGAGAGAGAGAGAGAGAGAGAGAGAGAGAGAGAGAGAGAAAAAGAGAGAGATAGAGAGGAAAAGAAAGAAAGACTAGGGAGAGAGAGAATGCAAACTGAATTGTAGAATTGCACTCTATCAGAGGAGCCTCCTTCTGCAGATAAAATTGTGTTTTTAACAGTTCACAGTTTGAAATAGTGTGCATCTAGCCAGCACAATGGTTCCTTCAATGCTTATGACTCTTGTTTTCATCTAAAACAGATAAACCAGCATTGATGGCTACCTTTCACAGTCTTATACTAAAAGTCACTGCCCTTACATTCCCCACACTGTCCCGTCAGATCAGCCTGGATTAACAAGTGAGGTCCCTGTAAATCAACAAGATATGTAGTGAGAGAAAAAAAAAGATATAGAGAGAAAGGGGGAGAACTGGTGGCTCTGGGTGCAAAGTTCATCAGTACAAAAGTAGTACAGTGCTGTGGTGAAAAGGATTCTCCTCTGTATTGCTGCTACATAGCTCCCCCTGCCCCTAAAATCAACAGGAAAAAAATAGCAAAACCAAGAGAATACAAAGGAACAAACGTGTTAAAAAGTCTCCTTTTTTTCCATTTTGCTCGACAAGCGTGTGGAGTTTATGCTGAGTTCCATAGACAAAGGAAGATTAATGCTTTCTGTTCAGGCATGCAATAGGCACCCTGTGGGGTCCTCAGGATTATCAAAAGTTCATACACGCAGGTCTCAGACTGTTCCCTCTATGATATTTACACATCTTACAATGTGTGTTCCTGTGTGTGTGTGTGTGTGTGTGTGTGTGTGTGTGTGTGTGTGTGTGTTGTGTGTGGTGTTTGTGTGAGTGCGTGCTCAGAGTCGTGATCAGGAGAGAGGATTCAGCTAATGTAAAACTGTGTGTGTGTGTGTGTGTGTGTGTGTGTGTGTGTGTGTGTGCCGTGTGTGTATGTGTGTGAAAATGAGTGTTTATATATCAGTTCAGTCTTTGCTTCTCTTCTCTTTCTCACACATGTGTCTCAATGAAGGAGTGTGTGTGGGTCATGAGAGGTGCGCCCAGCGGGGAGAGGTCGTCCTGGCCGTTGGTGCCGGGACTGAGCTGGCAGATGTCTGAGTAGAGCTCGCTGTGCCACTGCTTCCACTCTCTGAAGGTCTGGGAGCACAGGCCAGGGTCCTCCAGTAGGGCACAGATTACTGCCAGCTCGGACTCTTTGGCCTGGGGGGGAGCAAAGAGGCACCAGGGAGTTACCACATTGAATCCTCACACATCTAATTCTTCTTTAAATCCTCTGTTTGTGCTACCTTCAAGGTGCTGCGGAGGGCTCGGACCCGGTGCAGCCTGTCGTTGAGCAGAGGGTCCCTGGCTCTCTGGGTGAAACAACGTCGAAGCTCCTGTCTGCTGCAGGGTCTTGGGTCTCCTAGGGCCGTCACGTTAGCTTGCTCCAGGGCCCGGTACAGCTGCTCTAGCCCGTCCAACGGCTCGGGCTCCCGTCCTTCTGAAACCCGCCGCTCCCTTCCCTCCGACACCCTCCTCTCTCTGCTCTCAACTCTCAACTCCCGCAGGTCTGGGACATCCAGGAGAGGACCAGTAAGAGTGACATTCACAGCTAGAATGACACAGTGAGATCCAATTGGATGTACAGTGGTGTGTTTATTATAGAGCTGAAAAAATGTGTCTCTTAATCAATCATTAGTTGACTGACAGAAAATGAATCAGCAACCATCCTGATAATGTTTCAGAAATACCACCAAACAGCACTGTGTCTCCCAAAAGTGCCATTTCAGATAGAACAATAAAAGCAGCTCATAGGAGAAGAACACAAAAATTGGCTGATTCCGCATCCATCATCTGGCCAAACAATCACTGGTTCCCACACTTTTTGTGCCTCCTTAATACAAATACTATTGTAACAGGGGGTACCAAAAATAGATTTTCCTTCCTCAGACTGTTTCATTTGAAAAGTACTTGGGGGAGGTAAAGCTACAGTTTCCATTTTTCAAAACAAACGCTGTTGAAAAGTCCCAAAAAATGAACCTAATTTTGTATAAGCAGAATTTAATCTTTTTTTCCTATACATGACAATCGTCTTGTGAGATAGATTTATCTCATTCCCACCAGGTTGTGCATCATAAAGCAGCGTTGTTTCATCAAAGCAGGAAATATATTCATTTTTTAATGTTACATGGGCTATGTATGAACAAATATATATATATATATGTTTCATATTTTTGTATATATGTACTTTTTTGCCATAAAGTAAGGTAGGTATAGAGCATATGAACATCCATTGTACTTAACCTTGTTTTACAGCTGGGGTCTCTGAGATCCAAAACAGTAGTGAAAAATCAAGAAACGTCAAGATGCTAAAACAGTGGGGTTGTTCTCCAACCCCACTGTTTTAGGAACCCCAAACAGAACATCAGGGTTAAGATTTTACCTGGAAAGCCTATAAAATATGATCCACTGTTATAAATTAAACTACCAGAAGAACTACCAAAAGAAAAAAGTTACGTCAAGGATCTGAATACTTCCTCCACCACTTCCTAAATGATACAATTTTAACCAAAATCAACCCCAATATCTTTTGTACCATGGACTGCCCAGGTCCATGTTGTGTCACACATTAAGATTATGATGTTTTTGACTCATTTGCTTCTTAAAAGTCTGTTCCAATAAGATTTTTTTCAACCACCCCTCTGAAAGTGTTTGTGAATACTACTGCTTCTCTCCTCGTGTAAAACTCACATATTTCCTTACCATCCTCACCCTGGAGTATATCTGCAGCCTGCCCCTCTGCCTCCTCATCCTCGCTCCTCTCCTCCATATGAGCTGAGGTGTGTAACAGCTTTCCTAGCATCGGGTCCCTGTTCCTGGGCAGACTCTGGCTGCGCTGCTTGTGAGAGCGTCGGTGTGTGTGGCTGTGTGAGTGTGGACCTCGCTCCAGAGGGAAGGGCCCATCCCTCTCCCTGTCTCTCTCTGCAGCGTGGTGTCTCCGTACGGGAAGTGTGGCCTGCCTGCGTCTCTCCGGGGACATGCCCTGTCTGCCCAGCCCTCCGTACAGCCCCATCTCTCCAACCATGCTCCCCATTAGGCCTCCATAATCACTCTCCCCCGGTGCCGTTTGGAGGAAGTGCAGCCCTGCACTGGTGAGAGGGGTCTCAATGAGGTCCTGCCAGGAGCGCCGCTCACGATGGGTAGAACGGCAGCCTGACGAGTGGGTACTGGTGCTGCCTGTGCCCGTGCCCATGCCCATGCCATCTCCACGCTGGTCCTCGGCCGAGGAGTGGGAGTGCGTGGATTCACTGGAGAAATGTCGCCCGTGCTTTGGCTCCGGGAAGGGGCTAGAGGAATTTACCTGGAGAGGGAGAGGGGAGGTGGAAGAGACCATCTGTGGAGGGATGGGGGAGGTGGAGGCACTCATTGGTGGAGGGAGTGGGGACGGAGTGGAGCGCATGAGGCTCATGGAGCTGACTGAGCGGGGCAACTGGTCATAACTGTGAAGGAGGTTGGCCTGAAGGGTTTGTGAGGTAGACGGGGGTTGGTTGGTATGTAGAGGAGTGAGAAGGATGGATAGAAGTTGACAGAAAGGTGAAATGTGAGCACAGATACAAGGAAAATGTGAACCACAAAACGAGGAGAAGGAGGAGGTGTGCCAGGAAGGAGAGACAGAAGGAGAAGGAAGAGGGACAGGAAAGAATAAAGGGCAGAAATAGAGCCAAAGATGAGAGCAAAGCAAAGCAATGAGATGGCAGATGAGAAACTCTAGGAATGACTGACATGACATGTTGTATGGCTCAACTGGGATAACATGGTACCAGTGCCACTAGAACTTAATGTACATGTCTTAACATCTTCTGCATAAAAGTATGTTTCAGTTTTTATCTGTCAGAGGTGTAATGAGCGGTGACAACTGTCGCCACCTAGAGGTCTGATTGTAAACAAGTTCTGGCAGCAGAACACAGAGAAGTGATGGTCTTGGCAGCTTACCGAACCAGATACTCTCACACTCTGATGTTTTATTAATGCTGAGAGCTCTGGTCTATGCAGCTCTGAAAACTGTGGGGCTTTTAGGAATAAAATATTCTATCAGAATGAAACATTGCAAAAGAAAATGTGGAGTGTATGTGCGTGTGTGTACTTACTGATGGTGTGCGGTGATAAGTATCACAGAGGGATGAGGGTCCCTCCTGTTTGAGCGTCATTGAGCCATCGACCTCGTCCTGATCACTCTCACTCCAGTAGTCTGATATTGAGATAAAAACAGAGACCCCACGTACATGTTAGCAATTCACAGACAAAAAGGGCAAAGTGAGTCATATCTAGCCAAGTGAATCCGTCTCACCTTCATCAGGGCGTGGCACCTTGTCATCTGGTGTGTAGCCAATAGCAGCGAGCCCCAGCCGGTTCATCCACCTATAGGAAGAAAGGAAAGGAAACGGAAGAGAGCAAATGTGATGAGAAGTAAGGAGAAAAAAAGGCTTCAGAGGATACATTTGAAAAAAAAGGAGCAGAGAGGAGGAGAGGAGAGAAAAGGTTATACTGGGTAAATGGTAGGTGATGAATAAAAAAACTTTCACTTTAAATAATTTAAATGGTGTCTCTTAACAGTTGATATCTGTCTAACTGACTCCATCCCCCTGATGAGGAGAGAGAAGCGTAGAGATAATTAGAGAGATGGATGCAGAAAGAGAGAAGTGACAATCTTCTGTTCCTTTCTCTCTCAGCAATGAGTCTCAGATGGCGTCCTTTCTCTACACGCACGCTTCCTGTCCTCATCCCTTCCCTTTTGTCTGTCTCCATTGCACATTCCCGGCTTGTCCCGTGACTCTCTGCAGACACCTAATAATAAGGTCGCTACTAAGAATAGAGGCCCAGTCTGTACACGAGGAACAGGAAACTCATCATACTAGGAAGTGCGCACTACGGGGAGCAACTTCCAAAGACCATGATTAACGATGAATTGATCCTACTCACAAGTATTGCCTCTGTATCCAAAGCCTGATGTAGCTTATTACTCTGTGCTGTAGAGCTCCATTGTTGTCTAAGAACTATTGAAAACACATCAGTGAGCCACACTGTAGCACTGGATGATATGTTCCTGCATGAGGATGAACATGTGCACTGTAGTCGAGTTTATTTTGTCAGAGATTTTTACTAGCACGTCAAATGTGTATTAATCCACACCTAAAAATAGTCCCAAACAAATGTACTATTTCCTCTTGTTTGAGTAATGTTAACTAAAACCTACAGTGCCCAGCTGTTGAAGGAAATTAATGGCATTCACTGCATTCACTCACGCATGCTCAAGCATAATTTCCTTGCTGTCATTTTAAGGGTGTGTCAATCAAATCTGTTCTAATCAGCTGGTCACATCTGTCCAATACCACAGCGACACACTTGCATCGTTAGCCTATCATCTTGCTGCTGTCTTTTTAAATATGATTCTCTCTCTCTCTGCCTTCAGTTTATTCAAGCTGCTGTTATGCGCCCCATCACCACCCAGTCTTCGTAGATTCATCAGCCAACACCACCAGTGTCTGGACTCCATGGGGGGATTTGGTTAGCTGCTTCTCAGGGCAGACACAGTCACCCTTTCTGTCGACACTTCATCACATATCATATGTTATAATAAATAATTATTTTTATTTCATTCGCTTGTTAATCAGTGTTAATTGTGTGAGTCATTGCACTTAAATGTTAATTTTGAAATGGATCATTTAAAATGTGTTAAATCTCATTTATTTGTTTATCTATTTATTATTTTTATTTGTTTATTTTCACGTGAAGGAGGTTTGGAGGCGTCACCAGAGCTGATTCAGGCGAGCGGAGAGTAGAACCACACAGTTTATTGACCTCTCTGTTTTTCTTTCTCTTATAAACAATTCTCGCTCAGATTTCATAACTGGAAATTAACAATTGTTTTGTACCAGTTTTTTCCAGTGTCAAAGTAAACAGTTAAACCTTACAGAGTGGTCCTGTGGATTTGAACGAGGGGAATTGTTAGAGCGTCAAGCTAAGGCTTCATTCAGTGGAAACGTACAACTCCTACGTGATTGCCTTCAGAAGCTAAGAAAATCCAGATGGAAGTGCACCAAAAAGCCACGATATATTTTCAAGACATATAAAGAATTTTTTCTGATGCCATCTATTCACACACATACTGTACAATTGCACATGAAAATGTGGCAACAGCACTTTAACACATGAACCTAGCAATGTAGTTCGGAAGTCAAATATAGCTAGTTAATTACTCTCCTCCAATTATCTCTCCATGTTATTGAGGAGAGGTGTGGATAATTAGAGCTCATCAGATAGCACTCCTGCAAATATCACTACGATCTCTCTCTCCCTCACACAAGGGCACACGTGACACACACACGCGTATTTAAACACACACACACACGCAGTTCTACATTTAACAACAGAGGGCCAGGTTCATGCCTTATTCATGCACAGTGTTGTGTGGGCTGTTGCCTTGTGTAAACTTGGTTTACTCAGTTAAAATATTCATGAATGAACACGTGACATCCCAAGCATCTAACTATTGTCCACATTAAGACACAAACATGCACTCAGAGACTCACAAAGACACCCACTAACTCACCTGTTCATTTCCTCAAGACAATCTGTGGCGAAGAAGAAGCTCTTGATTTTTGGATGACAGGCTTTGAAGGCACTGCAGTCAGTCAGGGAGAAGAAGACTGATTAGTGTTTTTGTGGTTCATGTTGTGTGGGTGAGAGCAAATGTGCTTGATTAGTAATTTCGGCGACATGTGAGGGACACTCACAATTTCCGTCTGCACTCTATGGCTCGGTCTATTCTGAACTCTGGGAGGCTGATGAAGCCCTCAGCTTTCTCATCCTGCAGGCGCAGACAGATGGAGAGTGGTGGTACATCATCAACACAGAGAACAAAATGTCATACATACTGATATACCAATTTTATTTTGGATATTAGTACCCTAGTCAAGCATATGAAAACAACATATGTTGTTTACATTGGCCAGGATACACTCCTTTCACCACTTGACATGATAAAGAGAGATGAGATATGATAATCAATATATAATTTATATAAACAAATAATCACATTTAGAGTTAATTGTTTGGGAAAGTTCTCTTTTTCTTCTTTCAGTGAGTTGGTGAGGTCAAAAATGTCAAATGTATTGGACAGACCAACTTGAATTTTAATATACATGTCCATAATAAGACAGACAACAAAGTAAAGCACTTTTTAAATTTATTAGAATGTGTTCATTTTATAAAGCAAGTTAATGAGCCCACACATAATATAGGTCACAAACTGGACCTGGTAATTTCATATGGGCACAGCAAATGAACATAAAGGTTTCTTCTGTTGTTGACCTGGCTCTCTCAGACCACCACTGTGTATTTTTAATGTCTTTCATTATACTGCACCAACTCCTGCAGAACAAGGGGTTAAAAATGCTGTCTTCCTCCTGAAGTGACCTCAAATTTCCTAGCACATATCTCCAGAAACAAAACTACATTTACTCCCTCCTCAGTTGACAGTCTGCTTAATGCTTTTAATGAAAAGTTGTCTATAGCACTTGACGCTGTTGCACCACTTACAATTAAAAAAATTACTATGAAGAGGAACACGCCATGGAAGAATCATGAAACCACTATACGAAAAGTAGCCATGACCCATAATACCAAGTAACTACATACCAATCTTCAATCTTCAATTTTTAAGCAAAAAATTGGAATAAAATAGTATACAATCAATTAATCATTGAATTGTATTTATTCAAACAACAAGTTGGAAATGTCTGTTCAGTCTGGTTTTAGAGCTAATCATAGCACTAAAACAGCCCTCATAAAAGTAGCCAATGACATCAGCATAAATCGTGATGCAAATAAACCTTCAGCGTTGGATCTAAGTGCTGCTTTTGATACAGTTGATCATAAAATTCTTTTGAATAGACTCAGGGATCATATTGGACTGTCTGGAACTGTTTTTAACTGGTTTTCATCTTATCTTTCTGGTAGACAGTTTGTTCTGACAACTTACAATAATAATCTCGTTGAAAACCTCCAAAATAACCTTTGGGGTTCCCCAAGGATTGATCTTAGGGCCATGTCATCAGGAGACATTGCATCTCTTTCCATAGTTATGCTGATGACACACAGCTTTATGTGACCATGTCTCCCGATGAAACAGGTCCAATTGATTCCCTTTTAAAGTGCATTTTAGATATTAATGTATGGGGGGCACAAAATGTTTTGAAGCTCAACCAGTAAGTTGAATAAGACATTCTGTCTTATTATTGTTTTGTCAGTCACCTTTGAAGCAATTTGAACTGCACTAATCCGTATGAAATGTACTATACAAATGAAGTTGGACTGATTGATTGATTGAATTTGAGCTTCAATGGTATTACAGACAGACAGACATTTGAAGGTTCCAGCTTCACAAATGTGAGAATTAGCAGCCAAATTGAATATCATTGGCTTTTGGATTGTTGGTCTGACATAACAAGACATTTTGTGACATTACCATGGGCTCTTGGAAATTGTCATTTCATCAGTCATGAAAAGTAACAGTACATTCTGAATGGTTATTTTCTCTGACTTTAGAAAGTCAGCTGTTATACACACCAAGTTATACTCCCCATGACAAGTTGACTGATCTTTATGTGTAAAATCTGACTGTGGTACATTAGTTTTGTCAACAAAGTTGCTGAATGAAGATGCAGGGAGAAAGCATAGAGAGTAAGTGTGAACAGATAATGAGATACAGGACATAATGATAGTTGAATGTGATTCCTTACATTTTGGTTGGTGTACCAGTAGAGGCAGGACTCTTTGAGAATAAACCAGTACTTCCTCCATTTCTGGGTGAAGTAACCTTTAGCATCCTTCTTTTTCCACAGCCAGCCCTCACAGTCACCGTGGCCCAGGTCCTTACAGGAAATTCTCCTTCGACTGGCGCTAGTGAGGGAACCTGCAGAGAGGGGAAAGAACAATGTTAATGCTGACAGTAATTTTCATGGCATTTGGAACTGAATTAAGAAAAATACTAGTACGTAAAGTAGATGTGAAGTCATGTATTTAGTGATTCAAGTCAGGCAACAAAAGGCTATGTCTGATGTCTACTGTCTATCTGCAGTAAGCAATCAGCAAGCAATGTGAACTACATCCTTCCAAATCCTTTCAGAGTATTACACTAGTGACAGTGATAAATTAGGAGCATTCAAAAAAGATAAACAATCAATCAGGTGTGGCAGGTGTTTGCAGGAAAATGTGCAAATGTAAATTTCATATTTTGCACCTGTGCATCTGGACTTTTCACATACATAAATATTGTGTTATATCATCAAGCCTGTCTCAACTTTCCTTTTGATATTTTCAAGCCCTGTCATCCACATCACAGTCACACGTAGTGCACATGCCAGTCACAGCACCTAAAGTCTGTCAGGCTGAGTTTGGAGATCAGACCTTCAGATTGAGACACATTTTTAGGGCAAAAGTTTCACTCTTTCTGGAGCTACATACGCTGGCATACACACAGTGGTAAAACTCTAAAGATCATACACGAGAAAATACAAAGAGAAAATGCACTAGTGTCTCTACCTTTACTTCGCTTTTTGGTTTTCGTTCTTAGAGAGGTGTAATGGAAAGACTAAAGGGGGAGAGAGAGAGAGAGAGAGAGAGAGAGAGAGAGAGAGAGAAAAATATATATTAGCTTCAAAAAACAGTGACTGAAAAAGACACATTCAGGCAAATTGATGCACGTAGAGAGGTTGCGCGCAGTTCACTCCCCATGTTTAGCTTATTTTCATTTTATCAGGCACACAGCAGAGAGGATTACAGGCACAGAGGGATCAAAATACTAAAACTGCTACATCCAGGAAGTGACCTACAACCTGTGATGGAGAACTGAAAGCTGTCGGCACAGAGACTAAAACCTCAGTGATGTTAGGATGTTGTGAACTGCATCACATTAGCTACTACATTTAGTACAGGGGTCAGCAACCTTTACTATCAAAAGAGCCATTTTTGGCCAAAAAAAGGAAAAATCTGTCTGGAGCTGGAAAATGTATTTGAGCCTTATAATGTCACAGCAATTTCTTGCTGCAGATCAAACATACCGGTAAGCCAGCAGTAAGAGCATAGTGAAAGCAAACAAATCTGTCTCTATTTTCCTCCAAGACTTTTCTTTTTTAGTATCTGGAATCCATAGCTTGCCCTAGGGAGACTCAAGACTAGTAACCACAGCTATTGCCATTCGGTAGTACATCCAGCTACACATTTTAGTTAATGAAATGTCAAAACCTTTTTCTTTTATTCACTGTGTAAGGGCTACAATTTTTCATAATTGGAGAGTGAAGATTCCTTTTAAGCCCGCAATAATGATAAATGAAAATGTTCAGTTCCTCAGTAATGTCTTTCATACAGCAATTAGTCATCTATAGTTAGTTAGTTAACTTTAGCATTAGCCACCATAAACTTCTGGTCTGTAGCAGCAACACCACTGCGTGTACTGAATATTTCCTCTTTAAATGTTGCATAGCCAACACACCTGAATACTACACCAGCTGATGCATCTCAAATATGCTAATGCAAGTATTCTATAGGTATCAAGATCAACATAGCTGTATATACTCACAGGTTATAGATAACAAAGCCGAATAAATATCTGTTTATATTCAACTGAGCTGACTCACTATGTTACAACTCGTAGTGCTTTGGAGGAGAGGCTAGGGCTAATGACTAAGACAGCTTCCTGTGTCACAGTAACCTAAATATGGAAAGCAATTTACCTCATCCGACTGTTATCTTTTATTTAATTATTACAGTTCTGAATAGATTTAATCTCAGGTATCTCTCCTATTCTTGTCTGGCGGTTATTTGGACACAATTGATCTCCATGTAACTGCGGATGTGGTTGGTAGGAGATTGAAGCATCCGTTGTTTCATTAAAATGGGCTTTGAGTCAGAATCAAATTGTACTGGAAAGACAGAATTATTTCAAAATCAGAGCTAGTATTCATAGATTTATAAAACATCTGAGAAAACCACAGTCAATCTCGCAGCGTTGTCTGCCCTCCTACCTTCCTCATGGAGGCCGCTCCTGAGCTTCCTGAGCCGGAGTACCTGCAGGAGGACAGACAGGATTGAATGTAACCACAAATGACTCTTACAACTCCTTCTATCAATCACAAGCATGTGGTCAAACCACAAACAACCACAAACACAAACTCACCTGTCTGTTGTGTCTGCTCGCAGCGTGTCCGCACCTCGCTGAGTACAGAAGAAAAGAAGACATCATTAAAGTGCTTCTGAAAACCCTCCATATGTGGCCAACATGGCTGCACACACTTCTTCTGTGCACCTCTGTTGGTAATTATCATATCATGTTCTGTGGCTGTGGCTTTTGCCTGTGCTCTGTGCAGGACATGTTCTGTGGTTTATTTTGTATTTCTATGCCTCATTTGTGTTTAAAACCAAACTCACATGTACACTATAAGGTTTGGTTTGTGTTTCTAATCCATATCTGAAGTCATATCAACGACCCATGTAATACTTGGTCCAATGAGTAAAGTGATGGTTACCCTCTTTAAAGTAATAGATTATACAAAAATAGTTTTTAGCTATTTGAATGAGGAGAAATGTCTCTTTATTACTCCTCTGCCACACAATACCTATCCGACTATTACTACTTCTACTAAAGAGCGATTTCTTAGATGCTCAAAGTTGCTTTATGTGATAAAGGGAATAAATAAAATATTACAAAACTAAAATACAGTTCAATACAATATGAACAAGTCAAATCAGTGCAGTTTATTAGTATGTTACAAGACAGTATAACATGAGGACCACAGAAAAATAGTGCTAGACTTTTCAACTCAAGGAGTAGTTTAGCAGTGTCATACTAACTGCACATGTATTTAGTGTTTCTTGTTGAATGATTTAATTTAAAATTTTGTTGAAATAAACAAGAAAAGATGCAGTACATGTACTATTACTAACTAATAACTATAACTGTATTTTGGGATTCCAGCTGCTTCACATATGGCACTTGACCCAAGATCAAATGCACGTTGAAGGGCCGTAAATATTGTCTTCTGTGTTTTTAATGTTATCTTAAATGTATGTATCTTACTTTCTTCTAGTCCTAATTCATGTCGTTTCTGTGATGTTGTAAATGGAGGCTACCGTGATACAAGAAAATAAATCATCATAATCACCACTATAATTCTCCCAATGAAATCTTTTTTACTGAATTTTCAAACAGTTACTTTTTGGGTATTACAAAAATAATCTTTGCTCCAAGTGTGGACAAAAAGCTTCTTTTGGATAAACTAATGGCCCGACCAGGCACAAACTTGAGGATCTGCGGGAGGGTTGAGGGGGCCCTTAATCCATGGCCATTAGGCAGGGATAGGCACAGGGGCCCATTACCATTATGCAGCACAAGTGATTGAATGTACTTGTATACTTGTGTGTGGACAGCACAGCAAAGAAAGAAAAACTTGCTTTCTTTCTTCATATGACAATAAACATCTTGAACTCTTGAACTCTTGTGCTGCTATGGATGATTCAGGGTAACTTTACTGTGTATGTCAGCTAAACAAAGACATGAAACCTCACTTCAAATTGTCCATTAGTGAGTTCAAATAACATGTTTTGTCACTAAAATAATGGTGTTAATAGAAAAGAATCATACAGAGAGAATGAGAAAGAAACCAAGCAGGTCATTAAGGTTAGCGTATGCTTGTTAGTGCAGGATAGTACACTTCATGTGCCGCCGAACAGATATGAGTCACCACCATGAGACACACACAGCTGAGAGGGTGAGTGAGGGCCGGTGGTAGCTAAGCTGTTAGCGCACTGTGTATGTGTGTGTGTTAGCGTTTGTCGTGTTTTAAGCACAGTCTGTCAGTCGCGCTTGTAATTGGACTGGCTGATGCTGAGTCATACACCTGCTCACAGGGATACGTGTTTATGTGTGTGCGCGCGTGCAAGTGTGTGTGTGTGTGTGTGTGTGTTTGCCCAATAAACTCCTATTTAGAATCAGGCGTGTCTGAGGAGATGGGGATATTAGGATGAGTTAGGACGAGTCGTGGGGTGGCTACCCTGCATACAAATGCACTCCTGTTTGCTAGTGTGTGTGTTTGTTTGTGTATGGCTGTGTGTGCACGCGCATGTGCATGTACTGGCGGGGGCATGAGAGAAAACGCAAAGTTACAGAGGGGTGTGTCTCAGAGCGTCACTGTCACTCTCGTAATCCATGAAGCTGGCAGCTGTGTAATGACAATGATCATCCTCACTCTCCTTTGTCTCCTCTACCTGACACAAAAAACAAGGTGTGTGAATCTGTGAACAGCATGACCTATCCTGCAACCACAGACAGTTCCCCTCTGAGAGGACACAGACATAAACTGTAAGACGAAGGCAAGTTGTGTGAGCAAGTGAGTGAGGTAATTCTAGTTTGCTAGGTGAAACAGCCTTGAAGGACACAATTGTACTGCCACTAACAGGTCTTTTTCACAGAAGACATTTTGTCACAGTATGACCTGCAACAAAACCTGCAAAAAACATGTGATAAGATTCTAAAAATAGACTGCAATGTTAAAGATATCTTTATCTTGGCTTTACATCTGGGCTTTAAATCTTTGCTTATGACCCCCTACAAAAAAGCAGTGTTTAGTTGGGTCACTTTTCAGATGTCTATGAGTGATTAGCAGTTGGAATAAAGAGAGATTTCCCCTCTAAATAACTACATTCCTTTCATTTAAATAGTTATTTGAGGCCCACAGAGCTAAGAATTAACCAATGTTTCACAAAAAAAGCAAAGAGACAAGTGCTAAATAATTAATCATCTCAAGACCCCGCTCTGCAGGAGGTTGGCCCCTAGGTTGGGAACCACTATTATAGTATTAACAATTTAATAATTTCTTATATGAGAATGTATAAGTCACAGAAACAAAACGTGTGCTGTTTTTTTTACCAAACTGAAGAAAAAATATGTACAGTATATCAAACCTAATGATGACTTTATAAGTGATTGAAAGCAGGCAGCAGGGCAAAACATTTGACTTATACATACTCATTAATAACTGCATATAACCCAAGAAAATAGATGGGAAAACAAATTCAGTATGTAAAATAATTAATATATTTCACTGAGATGTTTAAGGGACTGTGTACATACAGGCAAAGCATCAGGTGGCTGGTCTAGGCGCAGGGTGGAGGACAGCATGGAGGGGCTGATGGGAAAGCTGGGGCTGCTGGGATTGCGGCTCTTGCGCCGAGAGCGTCTGGTTGAATCCCGCCGGCTTTCTCTGCCCGGACCCTCGGGCTCCTCCTCGATTACCAAGATCTTGTCGTCGCTAAGGTAACGCAGCAGGGAATTGTCTGAATCTGCGGGGATGAGGGGGAGGTAGAGGAATGGAGCAGTTAGAGGATGGACAGGCTCAACAGAACGGATGACAGAAGGAGGGAAACCACAAAGGGGGAGACAGAAGAGTTGTCGAGGGATAACTCCAAACTAGAAACAGATGAGGGTGAATAGACCCTTCCAGATAAAAACCCAACAGAAAGGGATAAAAGTGCCTCAGAGCTATAGTATCTGATATGGATCCACAGCCGGGGACATACAGCTAATCTGTTTGCAATGATTATGCTGATTTGGAGGGCACTACTGCTAAATCTTGTCAGTCACAGAAAGTTTTAGTCTGCTTAAGCTACAGATAGAAAAAAAGCTTCTCACCTAATTTGTTTATTATCCATATGCTTAAATGTGAAAAACTAAAAAGTGACTGAGAGAAAGAGAAGGAGAAAGGCAGACCCCCCGACAGAAGTATTGTGCTTTAATGTTATTCATGGACTTTCTGACGGTAGAGTGGAGGAACCTCAGTCGAATACAGAGCGAGTCTCGCCGCAAAACGGTGAAGCTGGTTAGAATTGGTCACATAGAAATACCCTCATTTCCAGAGCTGTATAAATGCAATTTCTTGCATTTATGTTTACTTGTCGCTCTGTCAGATACATACCTGGCAGATATGTATCCTTACACAACCACACCACCATGGATAAACCAGAGGATGAGCTGAAATGTGTTGAGTATGGAGCAAAGCACGGCACCAGTCTGACCTGTTCTTGTTTAAGTGTGAGAGGGGCTGTGTTTTTGCTTGCATGTGTGTTTGTGTGTGTGTACCTCGGCTCCCTCTCTTGCCCATGCTGGGTTCCTTGGCCTCGGCCATCCAGTTATATTCGGGAGGCATGGAAACAGGCCTGAGGTCACCTGGAACGACCAATCAGCAGTCAGAGAGTCGGCTAGGGGGAGGGAGTGGGGGTGTCGCAGGAAGGCGGTGACTAAGAGACAGCGTGGGAGACAGCTGGAGGGGTGGACAGGTGAGACAAAGTGTGTGCAGGTGAAGGGGAAGGAAAGGGGGACTCTCGAGGGACTGCTATGACAAGGCAAGACAAAGGTCACGTGGCCTTTTTTTCAGGTTATAATGTCAAGTTAGTTTTAAGTTCACACAAAATGCAAGTAACCTAACACTCAGTACTCTGCCTAAACGCATCCTGTGTAGATAGAGCTCTGTTAATGTGCTGCTTTCGCTACACAGGCTGTGTTCACATTGTGTTATATGTAGATCATGATCACACAGGCTATGAGTTTATGTGTGATTGAGATTATTGCTTTGTGCTAGAGCTGTGCCTTCTTCATTATCAGATTTCTCTGGCGAGGTATTGGGAAATTTGCATATAGTTGTTGGTAGTCCTCCACTGGACCACACATTAAAGACCAACTGTGTAGTAGTGGAACTATAATATAGAAATTAGAAAGTAGCTTGTATCAGAAGTATCCTTAAAGCTACATAGGTTGATTTTTTTGACAGAGGCAGAATCAGCCGAAAACATAATCTATTGTCAAATTATAAAGTTGTTGGTGAAAGAGTAAGAAAACAATTGCCTATTTACACACCCAGCAGACAGAGCAACATTAGCATTTATTTGAAGCTACCCAACAAATGTAAATCTAATATTAACTCTCTTTGTAGCTCCGTTTTGCTTCTCCACCAGCTCCTGTGGGAAATATCTGGTTCTTTAGTGGTTAAATGCTCCATTACGTTTACCAGATAGTCATAACATTTTTTCTTTATGGTTTGTTGCTAGGCAGGTAGCATACAGTGGATTTTAAAGAGCTTTTTTTTTATTGATAATAGCTTCCTGCTGCCTGTGGAAAAAAAACAAAACAATAAGCTAAAAGAGACCCGAAAGCTCAGTAGACCTGCACAAACTGTTGGGTGATAATTACTGTGAGTGTGTCACTACGAGCGAACACTTATACATTATACATTGTCAGTGACCCAATTTCTTTTTAATACAAAAACATTGATTTGCGTGGCTTTAAATGTGCTTTTCAAAACTTAACTAAATATAGGCTATGTTTTCATTTCTACCTTTCAAGTCCAGTTGTGTGTCACTACTCCATTGATCACACACACATCACACACATCATAGGCCCTGTGAGAGTCTCCCAAGAAGGCACAGGATGTGTAGGAAGTCGTCTTGGACAAGGGTGACACAGGTGGGGCAGACAGGGAGCTGGAGACAGTGTTTGTGGACTGACCCTTTGGCATGTGATCAGTGTTTCTGGGACGTGTTCACGCGAGGTAAAGATACAAAGAAGTAGAGCCATGAAGTGAGTGAAGAACACATAAGGAGGAGTTCTGAGAAAAAAGGTGAGAAAACTGATGGGAGAGAACATGCTGTTTTACAAAACAAACACAGCCATTAGAGCCCCATTCACACTGTCAAACTGCGCTCCCAGTCTTACCATGGGTGGGGGTCTTGTCCCGCCGGCGAACCCCCGTATTGCGGCCCCTGTCGTAGTCAGGCCCTGGGGGCCCGTCTCCCTCTAGCAGGGAGAAGAACTGACCACTGTCCTGGTCCAGGTAGTAGCTGACTGCTTCTGAACCTTTGGAGCCGGACTGGGAGCCCACGCTGTAGCGGCTTATGTCGTCACATGACATCAGACCCAGCTCCTCCCTGGGGAGAGCGGAGTTGTCCTCATCACTGTCATCAGTGTGATCAGCAGAATCATAATAATCAACGTAATCACCGTCATCAAACATCTGTGTGTGCAAGTGTCTGACCTGGTGCTGTAGAGTCCAGAGACAGGAGATAGGATATAGACGTCCTGCATGCTGGGGGCGTCCATTTTGGACATTCCCAAAGTTCCACCGGGTGTAGGAGAGGTGCTGGTGGGGCTGGTGGGGACCGGCTGAAGGGAGAAAGAGAAAAGGAAGAAGGAGGGAATGACTCTTTTTTAGCAGCTTTTTACTGAATTATAATTGGAAGATGGTGAGGGGCTCTTGGAGCACAACCTGCAAAAACTGAGCATCAGATCTTTTCCTGCCTTACAGAAAAACAAACAAGCACACAGTTTACGGTGTTACAAGGGAAGGGAACCTTTTATTTGTAATATCTTCCTTGTACTGCAGCCGGCACTCATTTTAACACTGAATCACAAACAAGAGAGTTATTTCCACCGAGCTGCCATGTTGTGTATGTTGTCTTTTTTTATATCTGTCTGACTGTGCAGCCTCTCCCACGTTCAATCGCTTTGCTATTCTGTCATTTTGTCTCAAGCCTCTTCACTCACACAGGACTCTCCATGTCTGTTCCCATGACAACCTCTCCTCTCTTCCACACTTTCCTCACCCCTCTCCCGTGCTACACAGGAGAAGGAGAGGACAGAGGAAAGCTAGCGTGGCCTCCTGCCTCAGCTTGACTCAAGGACACGTAGATTCATTTGTCATCAGGTCCTCCGTGAGGACAGGATGCCTTGCTTCTGATGTCATGGAAACTCAGTCCAAATTTCAAGTGAATTATATTTGTTCACAGCCGGAACAGCTGGGGTGACAAATACGTACCTCATACAGCCAATTTCTCCCCTAGGACGAGGTTTCCAGATTTTGAAAAATGGGTTGTTTTACTGTATGTCTGAGGAGGACGCTCCATTTTAGAGAGGAGATGGGAGTGTGGACAGAATGGATAAACAGACACGGAGCCCGAGTGATGGCGAGGCAGGCAGCGCTCTCATTAAGAAAGCACAGTGTTTCATCATTTCATCAGCAGTGCATTAGGCGAATTCATTTCATATTCCAAACTTTCCATCCTCCTCTGCCCTCCCCCCCTTCCCCTCCCCACCACCCTCGCTACCTCCATCCCCAGGCCCTGTCTCTATCTTCATCTCTTTCTCTCTCACAGTCTTCCTCTTATGAAGGCAGCTTACAGTAAGACGGCTTCACAATAAATAATGAAGACGGGGTGGAAAGAGAGGGACGCGAGAGAGAGCGGGGAGAGCAAAGGAAATAGGACAAAGCGAGAGAGACAGAAAGAAAGAGTGCAGGAGAGGGAGAGTGAGGCGGGGGAGCTGTGCAGTGTGGTGACTGGAGCTGAGAGTGAAAACAGTAATTTAGTGATTACAGCCCACTGCTGCCTGCATGGAAAGGGGGGAGGGGGGAATGGGGGTAGAAGCGGAGAGAGATGGGACCTCCACAGCAGGCAAAATTCCAGTCTGTTAAAACAGCACTTAAACCATTTGACCCCTGCTGCGTCCACTCCAAACTACCTAAAAATCTACTGCTCATATCCTCCCCAGACTAATGTTCCCCATCCCCACCACCTTTACAGGCACACATGAAAAACTCACTAACACACACACACGCACACACACACACACACACACACACACACACACTTGAATATGCTTAACATAATATTTTGACTATGTAAGGGACTTCAAAAACAGTATAAATAAAAAGTAGGACTAGATAAGAAACTGAATTTAATGAACATTGTGGATCTCTTACTGATCTATATTTACACACGTAGCAGTTTTCAATATATATTAGGCCTTTTTAACAGCAGACATTTTGGCTAGAAGGAAAATAACAGGTGTTACTAATAATATTACTATTATTCAAGTTTTGCATACATTCAATTATCAGTTATTACAGAACATTGTAGTCCAATACTGATATATAATAAATATAGTGATAACGCAATAAATATAAATGAGTGGATCATATTGTCCCAGACAATTTACAATTTTCAAGATTTTTGATCATACATTTATCTTTAAAAGGATGACAAAACTTTTGTGTAGGTTTTAGTGGCATGTAGTCGTGCAGTTGCAGATTGCAACACCTCGCATCACCCTCCCGTTCCAAGCATGAAGGAGAAACTATGGCAGCTTCAAAATGCTAGAAAAATATCCATTCTGGGCTACTGTAGAAACATGGCAGTTCAGCATGGTGGCCCCGCTTCATCTGAAGATAAAAACGGCTCATTCTAAGGTAAAAGAAAATAAAGAATCTTATTTTTATGTGATTATACACTACTGAAAACATACCTTTATATTCCATTTCTGCCAAAAGAGCTTTAAGTTGCATTCGCTGCCATTAGCACAAAAATAGACAAAAAAAAATGTTCTGTAAATAAGACGTCAAAGGAGCTATAACCCCCAACCATTCAGTTGGCCCATCAATAATACATAGCCAATACATGTTGCCTAAAATAGCATGCATTCTCAAAGAGTAATTATTTATGTATCTAAACATATAACAGATTTATGAAAGCAGGGTCACGGACAATGTGTGGCACACGTGTGTCCGGTGAAGTGAACTGTGATATGAACGCTTATGTGGCCTTAAGTCACACAGGAAATGATGCCCTACATACACATTTTGCCGAAGCGCAGCTTGCAAGCATGTGTGTGATATGCAGCATCACAGTAATCCTCAAGTTATCTGTTAAAATCATTGCCAGCATCACTGTAATTACAGCCGATCATTGAATTGCTTTTACTCCATCCTACCATAAGACGAGACAGAAACAACATGCAAACACACAGACACACAGAAAGAGAGAAAGAGAGAGACAGAGAGATGTGTTGTTATTTAGTAGAATAAAAGAGGTTGCCATGGAGGGATTTGGGGCTGGAATCACATGATAATTTGTAAGATAAATTGTTTCCTTTGTGGATTCAGTTATAATCCAGCTGAACATTTGCCACATTTGGGCTAAACTTCACAGCCGTACATTTCATCCTCTAAAGCCAGGCTTAGAGGTATGAGTGCCCATGTGTTTGTATGTGTGTTTGTTTTGGGAGTGTGTATGTACAGTCTGTATCTAAAATCAAGCTTACAGAGAGCAGTGACCCAGTTCCTTCACCTCTCAAAGGAGCAACGCGGCTGATAACGGAAAACATATCTCTTCATGCGTGCCCAAACAGAAACACACTTGCTTTGACACATACAGATGGACAAGCATGCATACGGCCATGCTTAGAAATGTGTGCACAAGTACACACACACACATACACACACACTCACACGGACACGCAGGCTGTTTAGCAGGATACTTTGGATTCAGTGCATTATCTCCAGTATTTGCTGAGTAGCGGCTCTTGTTTCAGAGCCAGTGGAGCTGCCTGTAGTTGCTTATGAATAATTAAGAGCTCCAGTCTTTCTGAGAGAGAACAAATCTAAAACACTCCTTTCTTCTCTTCTCCTGAAGATATCTCGGCGCTCTGATCTGGGCGCTCACGGCGCATTTGTGTCTTAGCAGCCCATCAGGGTAGAATTCCCACAATCCTCTGCTGTTGCAAGCAGCAAATATAACAATAAGCTCGTGGTAACAACTTAGAGCGATGATCTAACAAGGCAGCAACCGTGTTAAAGACAGAGATGGTGACGAAGTTGCAGCAGGGTTTATGGTTATTACAGGATTTTTATGGTTGATAGCCCATTATAGAAACCATATCCACAAAACACTCAACGTGAACATACACTTGTACACATGTATGCTCACAGACATGTAGAAACCAGACAGTCATAGCCCTTACCTCACCCCCCCTCAGCACAACTTTTAGTTATTTTTCTTGGCTCTGAGTGAATGACGGTTTTACCAATTATTTGCCCTGAATTGAAAAGTTTATACCCACTCTGAGCTGTAAGGCTTCAAACAAGCATTCCTACTTTTAGATATACTGTACATTAAAAATGAACTCTCTTTTGAAAAGGAGATGGTTGAGAGGTTGAACAATTCAGGACCGAAGCCTCAATAAATATGAAAGTGAGTGGGAGTGTGGATGGACCCTTTGGTGACCTTGTATTGCCTTGCACTAGCTCCTGCAGGAAGTTCAGGCCATTTTATAAACACAACTACGAAGCGCAAATAGACATTTTTATTTGCTATTTTCTATCCTTCACTATCTCAATTTTGAGTTATTGCAATCTAAATATGCTTTTCATAAATTCTCTTCAGGTGGATGCTTTGCTACCAACACATTTGTGAATGGCTTTGAACTGTGCCAGCAGTACAGCAGGCTATAAAAAATAAGAGATTTGTTGAAATGCTCAACAGGAGGATTGATACAAGGTCAAGTGAACAGTGAACAGGTTTTCTTTGAAAATATTTGTTTAAAATGCCAGTAGGAGAAAGAAAGAGTGTGGGCAGTAAAAAACAAGAGCTGAGAGTGAGTCAAAGATAAAGCCAGAGGTACAACACAGCTTACTGTACATAGTGCTTCTTCAAATCCTTAACTGTAACTACAAGTGCAAGTACAAGAAGAGTCTTTAAAAACTTCAATTTCTTTGTTCTTTGTTAGAAATCTGTTAGAAATAATGTTTGGAGAGCAGCATGTCATTGAATCAGCACTTTTTACAGGTCAGGATGTGGAGAATAGCTTGTAATAATACTGCAGTTAAGGGCATCCATGTGTTGCTGGTGTTTACCTGCAGGCCCAGTGGTTTCCAGCGGACGTTCCTGAGCAGAGCCGGCGTGGAGCTCAGGGTGTTCTGGGGCCTTTTCTTCAGCGTGAGGATGACTCCACATGGGTCCTCTCTCAGAGCGTTGACCAGATTCTTCAGCTGCCAGCCCACCTGAGGAGCACACACACCGGGCTACCAAAACAACTGCTGCAAAGCACTACACGCACACACATAAGATGTACTGAGAGCGACTGAATCTGCTGAGGAAGGAAAACTACCACGCACAGATATTAAGCTTTTAAAACTGTTGCTGCGAACCACCACACACAGGTCCTGATACTACCTGTCCAAAACACCACACGCTACTGATCATTTATCATTTATTAACGAGGGAAAGAGAGATGCAACAAAGGTCCAAAGACTAGACTTCAACTGGAGACAATGCAGTCCATGGTCAGTGTCTTAACCTCTAAGCATCTGGGGCGCCTACTGTGGAGGTGATCTTCAGTATTTATGTCTGTGGGCAGATTTTATTACCGCAATAGTGTCACCACCATGCAAGATGCAGTCACAAAACTGCACAGGTGTGTAGCTGAGATTAAAATGAAGGCATAATGCAGTAATGAGACCTTGTGTAATAATGTAATAATGACTACTGGGCACTCAGTTACACACTGGACCTTTAAAGTGCTACACCCCAGTGGCTTAAATGAAAAATTAGTGTGGCTCTATCTTATTGTCTTTCTATACCAGTGGGTCCCTTTCCCAGTGTACAAGCTAACATTTGCATGCATACCAATATGTGTATGAGAATGTGCCAATGCCAGGAAATTAGAAGTGGGCTTCATGTGTGTTCAATCAAGCTCTAGATCACTGACTAGGTGTCAGTCAGTCTGGGTCATTATGCATGCCTCACTTTAGACTGAAGAAAGTCCAACATGGAATGAAATGTTTGCCCTTTTGCACTCCACTGTCTGTACAGCCCTCTAAGGTATCAAATAGAAATATTTAAAATCCAGACTCCAGTCTGAATCCCTTTTTGTTCTCTGTGTGTGCATCCTCCCTTTCTGCACTACAGCAACATGATACATTTAAACAGCTCAGTTGTCATGAGTCTGACTCACTTGAAATGTGTCCCTTTTAACGCTCTAATATTCCCAGACGTGATTTAGGTAATGTCCAAAAATGGAGGGTGCCATCAGCAAATTAGCATAATTGTCTGTCTCGTGTATTATATATATATAGGGGGGCTTTTTATGCCTTTATTGGCTTGTGACAGGCAAAGAAAGGAAAGGGAGCAGAGGGGGGATGACATGCAGCAAAGGGCCATAGGCCAGATCCGAGCCATGGCTGTGGTGCCAAGGAACCAGCCACAGCACACAGGGTGCATGCTTCACCAGGTGAGCTACTAGGTCTCCCATGTGCATTTTTCATCACTCTATAAGTTATTTTTTTCCATTGCAGTGAACCCTTTATATCATATATATATGGATATTGAAGTGCACTGCAAAAGGTAGAGGATCAAGGCAAAAATAAACATCACAGTGTGTGTTTTCATGTAGATCTGGAGCCAAATGCAGATTAAAAACATTCAAAACATGTTTATGCAACTTTGGCAGAAAGGTATATGTTCTCTGAGTGCTTTCTAGTTTTAATGTGGTTCATGTGATATCCAGGCTACTGATGCTACACGTTACTGCTGCATAAAAACTATTTCGCTGCCATGCCTCTGACACTTATACAAAATCTTCACCAAACACTTTGTGGCTACCAATACAACTATACACTACCATAATGCACCACACTGTCCCAGTACCACTGGTCTAAAAACATATTGAAATAAAGGGTGGCTTAGTCAATATGGTTGAGTACCAAGGAAGAGAGCAAGATGGTAAGAGAATAAGACAGGAGTGCTGACTGCAGTGTTTCTACATGGTTCCGGCCAGCCTGTCTCCAGAGTTCGCAGCACTCGTCAGGCCATTGATTGGCTACACGGGTCTCAGCTACTGGAAGTGTCCGCAGAGGCCACCACGCTCACACACACTTACCCACACTCACCCACACACAGACAGAACTGCTCTGACCTTATTCCTGACATAATGATGACCAGCCTGTGTCAGCCTTTAGCAGCCCGTTTCCTGTTCTCTTCGGCCCAGTTCAGGCATCTGGGTTCAGCCAGCGTTCACCAGCATCAAGAGAAGTAAGTAAGTTACTTTATGTTTTGTGCTGTTCTGCCCACTGAAATAAAAGGGTTTATACGAGGACACACTAGGACTCACCAGGGCTGCAATCATTAATCTTTGAAATGATTTAAGTATAAATTCAAACTGTTCAACTGAAAATATATTATATAATATATTATATAAATTTCCTACTGACATAAATAAGGCTAGATATCGAACTGTATGTACTAAAATAAATGTGTCACTACATCAAAAATCTTTGCATATCTGGTCAGATTAAATAAAACATTTTCCAGTTTTGTGTTCAGACAACATTTATCATTTCAGCTTCTTTTAAAGGAATAGTTTGAGATTTTGGGACATGCCCTTATTTTCTTTCCTGCTGAGAGTTAGATGAAAAAAATCAACCACTCTCGTATCTGTTTGTTTAATATGAAGCTACAGGTGCCGGTTAGCATAGTTTAGCACAAAGACTGGAAGCAGGGGGACAGCTAGCCTGGTTCTGTCAAAAGGTAAAACGAATCTACCAGAATCTCTAAAGCTCACTAATTAACAGATTACATCTTGTTTGTTTACCTGTTTCCCCCTGCTTCCAGTATTTACTCTAAGCTAAGCTAACCCTCTCCTGGCTGCAGCTTCATATTGAAGATAGGAAAGTGATATCAGTCTTCTCCTCCAGTCCTGTCTCGAAATTAAGAAATTAAATCAATTTGCATCAGGAAATATGTTTTGAGAGAATCGTAATGCAGAGCGAATTACGTTTTCTATTGACATAATAAGGAAATGTTGATACTGAATGTATCAGTAAAATGTTCACTGACAACGTATTGAATTTGTTTTCTGCCAAAATAGGTAATCTTGTAATACTATTCACTCGTACTGACCACAGCATTATTCAGAAGTCAAAAGTGACTTGAGACTTAAGATTTTTTAGAAACATTTAACCCAAATCACAATCTTTCCTAACCTTAACCAAAGTGCTTTCTTTCCCTAAACCTAACCACAATCACAATCTTTCCTTAAAGTTCCTCTGTTGCAAGAGTCTAGACGTGAACCCTGAAGCCCAGTATGACAGTTCTGCACTTTATACGCCCACCACCCACCTCAACCACCTACTTGCTAGTCTACCACGTTACACAAGACCTCTGAACATAATGTAGTAATATACAGTATACATATAATATAACAATGTCCAGCCTTAAACAGAGAATTCATTCACTCCTGAAGAAGTTGGACATTTTTATGCCAAAGGGAAATCCTGAATCAACTGAACTGAGAGTGAACGAGGTTGGAACTTGATCATGCTAAACTTCTCAACTCTTGTTAGATCCACCACAATGGTGGGCAGCACACAGTGTATGTTAACAGCAAACACAAAGCCTAATCTAACCAGGCCAGTTTAGGATTGTTCTGTTATGCAAATACGTAGAGAGCAGAGGGAAACAGGGAGAGACCTACCAAAATAATAATAGAGCATAAACTGCTGCTGGAGAGGTTTTTCAAATCCCTAGGGTCTTCATTATTTTCCCAGATGCTATTACCTCCACATAATTATGTTGCCTCTTCAAACAATCAGTTTGTTATTTGAGCAAATTCCACATTTTACCTCAAAAGAGAAGCTGAGCTAAAAACTGCTAGTCCTGTTTTGAAGTGGGTCTCAAACAGAAGCTCATGCATAGACATGAAGGCAGCGCTGTTGCTAAATACGTGGGATAGGCCTACATAATGATTCTATAATGTAATGGAATTTGTTCATTCAATATTCACACTAATCTAATTTTTAAATATGGAGCCTCACTAGATAAACTTATCAGCCGTGATGTTGACAGAGAGTTTGCTGGCAGTGTGTATCCATCTTTCCTCTTCAGCAGCTCGATTTAGGGTTGAAAAAGAGCTATATTGACTGGAGACTTCCCTCTGCTGTTCTCCCCCCTTCTCCCCTCCATTTCTTTTCATCCATCCATTTTCCCTAAGCCCCTCTTTACTTCCTCCTCCCTTTTTCACCCCAACTCTTTCCCAGCTCTGCCTCCTCTCAGCATCCCCTGACTACCTCACCCCCCAAACCCCATCACACACACACACACACACACACACACACACACACACACACACACACACACACACCTCTGTATCCCCCCTGCTTATCTCCTCCCCCAGAGTGAGGGATCAGAGTGGTGAGGGTCTAGCTGTGGGAGTAATGAAGGGTTGGAGCTGAGAGCCTGGCAGGGTGCGATCTGCACTGTCACCCCGAGGAGAGAGAGGGAGACAGATAACACGCAGCTCCCTCACGCGTCAATCAACGCCGCTCCCAAGCGCCTGCATGCACACTTTCGCATGAGCAGCACCTATCGAGACGTACAAGTTAAAACGCAGAAAAGCGCACAAAAGACGTCTACACACAAACAGAAATCTTTTTTTTCTCCTCCTCAGAAATCTCAAATAAACGCTGGAACAAATCGTTTGTGCCAGAGCTGACAGCGCAGGCAATAGCGCGCTCAATCACATGCTCTCACAAGGCACCGTTCCATTTAAAATGGCTGCCCATTTTTGTGCTTCCCTCTGATGTGATGAGTTGAAGTCAGAAATACAACTTATTCAAGTCTGAAAGTGGAACATGAGTTCATATTTCAAACCAGACGCCTCCTTCAGGGGTTTAATACGACAATGGGAACAAATTCCAGAAAGAGTGAGCTAACAATCACGCCGGACTGAACAAAGGTCTTGTAACAATCGTCCTATAATCTGCTCCCGCAGCAAGTCTAATTAGCCTACATAGCGACACAGGCACAGGACAGGAAGCACCATGGCAGCAGTGGTGGTGGTGGTGGTGGTGGTGGTGGTGGTAGCAGACATCATGTACCTTGACATATCCCCCACATTGGACAGAATGGAGAACAAGGACAGTTTGCAGTATGTATTCACAGTCGAAATGCAGTACATTTCCTGTGATTCTTTATGACTACAGTGTTGCCTTTGGAAGCTTTTTAACTCACCACTGTCTGGTGGTTGACTTGGATCACCTCATCCCCTGCATGGATCTTCTTACACTGGTCTGCTGGAGACTGCAGTGGCAGACATTGGAGAAGGGATAATGGAATCAAATGCAGGATATATTAACGTACAGATTCACTGTCATTGTGGAATTTGAGAACATAAATTGTGGCTGGTGGAGTGTCAAGCTTCTGACTGAGTGAAACCAAAAACTCACATTCTCTGTGGTTCCGGTGATAACGTGGAGTCCATCATATGTTGATTTGATATACATCCCCTGAAACACAAGGAGGATTCAGTATAATACAGTACACAGGGAAATATATATCTATATTTTACGTTTGAGACTTGACACACAGATAGGTGACAAATTAAAGGAATAACTAACATGAACTGTCAAAGATTCTCTAGGTCTTTGAACTCTACTGGAACTCTACTTTCTCATTTTGTGTTTTGATGATGGTAGTAGAGAGTGCCTAAGATGTTGCTCCAAAATCTTCCACTGGTGTTTCAACTGGGATGACTTTGAAGTCTATAGTGTATGATTCCTGTCAATCTTATACTCTTCAAACCATTCAGTGACCCCTTGAGTTCTGTATGAAATCATCTGCTTTTGTTGTTTTTGTTCATGTATTTCCATTAACTTGTCTTCGCCCATACTTGACTTGACTCAAGGCTTAAAAGAAAAAACATTCAAGTCTCAAGTTTTGATCTACCCAAAAATAATGAATAAGACACACCTTCACACCTTGAATATTTAATTATCAGTCCCATGCATCCAGTTATGTAAAAACACAATTAGCTTCAAATAGTGTAAAAAAATAATAAATAAAATTCAAGATTTAGTTATGAAGATTTTACTTGGATTTATCCTTTGGGACTTTAGTATTGACTTGGACTTGCCCCAGAGGATTAAAAGCTGCATTGATTTTAGGAGCAGTGTAACAAGCTAAACACCACAACACTGACACATTATGTATGACCTTATAAAGTTGTCATAACAAACGTGTTAGGAAACATTTGCCTATTTGCACATCCAGCAGATGTGGAGCAACATTAGCATTCATTTAAAGTCATGTCTGGCTCTTTAGCTGCTAAGCGCGCCACCAAATTCACCAGCTAGTTGCTAATTTTCGTCCGTTTGGTGCTGGGTGTCTTTATCAGAGCTGCCTGCCTCCGCTCGAAACAAGGTTGTTGAGGGTGGAGTTTGGCGAGGATGTAAACCAAAACTGTGGGTTAAAAGATGATAAAACACTGTAGAGTCGAGGGGAACTGCAGAGTAAGGTTGGTGCATGGTTTATATGAAGATATTGATCAGTGCATCTTTAAAAACAGCTCTGTTGGATACATGTGTACACATGCTCAGGTGTGTCCTTACCAGCCCTTCACTGGGCATGATGCTGGTAAGGTGAACCACCTCCAGGTGGGCAGACTGAGAGACCAGAGAGTCTGACGACAGAGAGATGATGTGGTCGCATATCCCTGCTAAGGTCTTACACTGGAGATGGCATCGGGGGTAAAGAAAGCAGAAAAAAAATGACAGAAAGAGAAAGAGAGAGAAAGAATGAGAGAGAGAGACAAAACGAGAAAGACAGAAAGTTATTGAGATTGGTTTTAGTCCGCGAGGGATGCTGTGACCTAGCTGGAGGAGGTGAAACAGAAATCATTTCATCAGATTGTTCCACATCGCCACTTCCATCACTCCAGCACACAAACTGTTTCCTGTCACAGTCTGTCCACAGGCATGCCCACAAGACACTGTCACAGACAGAACAACACATCACCGATACCAGCCAACCCCGAGGTGCACAGATGACATTTTCTAACATCTAAATTACAGAGCATGGATTTCATTTGTTGGTATCTGTAATTTTTTTGTGGGAGAAGATAAGGGCTACTTTTTTGCCTTCACATCAACTAAACAAAACCTGACACAGTGGTTAGATTATCTGTGCTATAATTTGCACTTAAATTCCTGTGTATCATGAGCAAATACGGCAAATGAAAAGCGTGGCTTCACCTTGCCTTTGTTCTAAATAAACCTTGACTGTTTTTCAGGCTATTTGTCTGCTTGGTCACGCATGCGAGTTAATTTATCATCAGCAACATCTCTGCCTTCTAATCTTGGCTGACTGACTGCAGTGGGCTTACAGAGACGGTTACCCTGGTTATCCTGCCTGATCGCATCTCTGCTTAGCGCACACAGCCACACACACATACGTTCGCTGGGATGTAACAGACGTACAATGTAAGAGAATTGTCTACATTCGCACAAGTTGCATGACATTGATGAACCCTGCATAAAATAATCTTCTGATCTCAATCCTAATGAGTAATTACGGTATTACAGTGATGTAATAAACAGCGGAGATCTTCAACACACACACACACACACACACACACACACACACACAGTATAGCTCAGAGCCTATGATTCATTCAGTGTGAGAGAAAAGGTGGAGGATCTTCAGTGAGCTGGCTATGTGATGCTTATGCTCTCTTTCTGTCTCACTGTCTCTCGCTCACACACAAACTCACACACAAACTCACACACACACACACACACACACACACACACACACACACACACACACACACACACACATAAATACACATCATCCTTTTCTGGGTCAGTTATTTGAACATTACACTGACTGTTTAGTTTTCTGTTTCTAGTCAATGTGTACACATTACACTATGGGAAACCCAGGACTCATCCACAGAGACCAAACAACACTTTATGCTTTAATTTGAAAAAAGGAGAAATAGTTAAAGAAGTGAGAAATAAGTAGGAGGAAGGCACAGCAGAGTATATATAATCCAATCGCCTATAGAGCCATAAATAGCATGTGAAGTCCCCAGCTGGAAACCACAGCAAGTGACAATGTCGTGACTCTGCTTGTATCCTTCTTTGATCATCTGACTAATAGTCTTGACCTGGGATTAACATGGGCTGAGAGACAAAAGGCCGGTTACGAGCGTGGGGGCTCTCAACTCCTCCAGCTCTGACACACCCAGCCTTGATCTGACATGCCTCTAGAGAATCAGAGCGCAGATTATAGGGAAGTTAACTTATGTGGCTGGCTGGCATGAGATTTAAGAGCAGTCAAACAGAAAGCCAGACATAGTATGCTGCCAAATGGATTAAGCTCTGGCTGCCCCCCCCCCCTCCTCTTCCTCATCCACCACCTCCCTCATTCTCATTCTCTCTCGTGCACTTTCTTCATCCTCGCACCTTCTATTACATGCTAACAAACACCAAGCGCTGTTGCGTAATGCATGTTCTCCACATGCGTGAGCATACACACAGCGGCAAACACAAACCTGACCTGAGACACAGAGAAAGATGGAGAGAGGGAGAAGAAGAGTGGAACAGAGGAACAGAAAGGCAGGGAGGTTGGGAGGAAGAGTCCAGGAGGGAAAGGGGAGAAAACAAGGGAAAGGGAAAACACACAACTAGGACAGTCTTATGTAATTCCTCTCATCCTTATGCATGCATGCACATAATAACACACACACACACACACACACACACACACACTCATACACACTTCACGCTCCATCAGACACACAGACTCACACATGCTCATATCTTATCTCTCTCTTCTCTCCATATCTCACACACACAACACACACACACACACACACACACACACTATCCCTGTCCATCTGATTGCTGCAGGCCGTAGTCTGGAGGAGAGCAGAGTAGCAGTGAGTTTTGCATTATTGAGCAGAAGCTGACAAACGTACAACTACCACTACAGTAGCTACGGCAGATCTGACCAGAGCATTAAACAGTGCCTGAACCCCATGCTGGATGCACACTGGAGACTCTCTCATACTGTATGTCTGTCTGGATCAAGCTCCATACATGCACTACTTCAGTAAAACTACTAATACCACCATGTGAACATTATAAATACAACAAGCATTGTATATGTAGGCCGGGAGTATCCACAGTATATTACTGGATATACTTATGCATTAACATGTTTACAGCATATAAACGTTATAGGCTACCTGGTCGAGGTGTGGCTCATTTGAATTACTTTAATTTAATTACATTATTATAATATTACTGTAGAATATATGTAGAATATAAAATGTATTCTGTTGCTTTTCACCATCCAGGAATGCCGGCATATAGTGGCATGCACGGGGGGTGGGGGGGTGGGCGGGTGATGAAATTGTTGAAAAATGTGTGCTAAAGTGCCCTCTTGGGAACCAAAATGTGTGTTAAAGTGCCCTCAAGTGCCCTCTTGGATGCCAAAACGCGTGCTAAAGTGCCCTCAAGTGCCATATTGGGAGCCAAAACGCGTGCTAAAGTGCCCTCTTGGCAGCCAAAATGTGTGCTAAACTGCCCTCAAGTGACCTCTTGGGAGCCAAAACGCGTGCTAAAGTGCCCTCTTGTGAGCCAAAACTTGCTAAATTGTCCTATTGGGAGGCAAAAACGCATGCTAAAGTGCCTTCTACAGTGGTGAGGACGCGCTATATGTGACCTTTTTTTTTTCATAGGGCAGTAAGTGTTCATTCATTAAATTTTGAGCATTGTATTTTATTGGTTCTTTTGTTTGAATTTGCACTGCCTCTCATCTGCATCTCACCTCTCAATGCGCATGTCTCTAAGCAATCAGTGTTGTGAGGTTTATACTGCCTGGTTTAAATGTATGTTGTTGGACTTTTCAGCTTTGTGAGAAAAGTAATAAAAAAGTAATCAAATGCAATAATTCATGTTTTTACTACGTTATTACTACATTACATTATATTACATTTATAAAGGGTAACTAGTAACCTGTAACCTATTACAATTATAACAATGCCCCTTTAAATACTTGAGTAAATGTACTATATAATGTTTCATCATTGCTCTGTAAAGTAGTGTTCTGATAATTATTAGTCAGTCCTTAGAAATGAGTTATCTAGTTAGTTTTATTTTTTAGTAAGTAAGTCAACAATTAGTTAGCAGTTAGATACCAGATTACTTAGACAAGTTAGCTATCTAGTTAGTTAGCTAGTTAGTTAGTTAGTTAGTTAGTTAGTTTTATGTCATCCTGTTTCATGTATTAATGTTTATATACAATTTCTATTAGTTATTAGTCAGATATTAGTTATCATAAGTTGGTCAGTAAGTAAGTAAGTCAGAAATTAGTTAGTAGTTATTTGATTAGAGATGATTAGCAGATTAGTTAGGTAAGTTAGATATCTAGTTAGTTAGTTAAAGAAAGACATTTGTCATAACATATATTGGCTAGATCTATATACTTTCATGCAATATATGTTGATACGCAAAATTTGAAATTGTCCACTGACTAGGGGAGGAACAGAAACTGATCATGGTAATTTGCATTCTTTGTACTCATCTCCTAGGCTTTCTCCAAGTAATGGCTAATTTAAATGTTTCGTATGTGAATAGCCAACCCGGTCTGTCTTTTTTTTCTTCATCTTACTAAAGAGTATATATTTCATGGTTCCCAGTAAAAAAACAATGACAATAGAAACCAAAATGGAACTTTTTGGATAATTAAGATGTGTATGTGCATCATCTTGATCCTATGTGTTTGTGTGCTGTGCATGGTTTAGTGGCAGTGTCACTTTGCCTCCACTTTATTAATTTCTAAAACACATAGTAAACAAGGAACAGCAAGGAAGCAGCATCTAAAAACAAACACCTCCTCCTCTCCCTCTCCCTTCACGCTGTCTCCCTATTTCACACATAAACCTCCCACACATAACAGACTTAGTCATGTGTAGCCTTTAGTCTGGCACCCAGGGTTTTGTGTGTGTGTTTGTGTATGTGTGTGCACACATATGCAGAGCCATTTAAATATTTGAATTTGCCTGATGTCACTGTCCTGTGTCATTAACAGGGCTGTAACAACAGAGGTAAACGACAGCCATGCTTCCACAACCAAAAACCTAAGAGGGGAGTCATTTCAACAGGGTGGGAACGTCGCACCACAGGAAGACCAACATCGAAAATACATTTGTATGATTGGTTTTGTTTATAGAAATATGTCCTGCAATCACTTATATACCATAGAGTGACAGATCTCATCTGGGATTTATTTCCTGGCATAAAATGCTCCGATATTTCTCTGTGAACTTCCCCCGCCAACATTTTATTTGGTTCCCTCCACCTGACCTTGAATGGTAGCAGGAAGTGTCCCAATCCAACTGTCAGCCCGGATCAGACACTAGCTGCTCACTCGGTTTCACACGTGGACACAGACAGTTCTCTGTCAAACATGCACGCACGCGCGCACACACACACATACACACACACACACACACACACACACACACACACACACACACACACACACACACACAGATACACACCTATATACACACACACACACACACACACACACACACACAGACGCTAAACTGGAGCTTTCAAAAGGCCTCAGGCTCGCTTGCACTTTAACATTGACAATTTTGTGCCACAAATTCCCAGAAAAAACACAGTCCTCTGACATGCACACACACACACTCCCACACAGAAAACATTTACATAGACAACTGTACACATACATATATTCTTCGGCTGTGTCTCTTTTCAGTGTCTTTATGAAATGCAGTGTTGTTTCAGAATCATAACAGCTGCATTACCGGAGCAGAGTTGCAAAATGATGTTTCTACCAGTGGAGATAAGATTTCTGTTAAAGGAATGGTTCGACATTTTGTTTTTCGTTCTTACTGAGAGTTATGCTGCATTCACATGGATTCAGGCAGATGGTAGATGGCAGACGAACAGCCCCTTCTGGACACCACGGTAAAAAATCAAATAAACAACAACCATTGCCGGTATTCTCTGCTGGCCTCTTCACTAACATGAAAATGTTTTGCCGTTTATCATCTGCTTGAATCCATGGGAATGCAGCATTAGATGAGAAGATTGATTGAGCCTAGCTTAGCACAAAGACTGGACACAGGGAAAAACAGCTAGCATTGTTCTGTCCAAAGGTAACAAGATCCTGACCACCGACAAGTCAACAACTGGGCTATTCACATATAATTTACTTACGTTATGTATCATTTGTTTAATCTCTACAAATAAGGCAGAGTAAAAATCGGACCAAAGTGTGCAGCACTATTTCATGGCCAGAAGCAGTAAATTCCCTGATTGGACACTTGCTGCCTAAATAAAAAAGAGTTTTATCATGTTAATAAATATTCTTCAGAGGTACTGAGGTAGATTATGTTATCTTTGGCCAAAGCCAGGCTAGCTGTTTCCCCGTTTACAGTCTTCATCTATGTACGCTACTCTAACTGTCTGCTGGCTGTATCCTCCAAACAGAGTGGCATTTAACTTCTCACCTAACTCTTGAGCAAGAGAGTGAATAAGCACATTTGCCAAAATGCTGCTCTATTCTTTTAATGCATCTTTGCTAGACTTGTTTTAGAAAAGGGAAGTTCTTCATATATGTTGAATATAATGCTTCACAAGCGTGTGTGTGATGCGACCAGAGAGGAAAGGATGCTACAATAAAATGAGACTATACTTATACATCAGGATAGTAGTCTTGTTCTGACTTTTTGATCTCATCTATTAATTTAATAGCTGTCATTGTTGAGTATGCCATCGTGCCTCTTGCCTGTTTTCCGTGATGGAAACAGGCCAACAACTCTGAATCATTATTGACATTTTAATAAGAATTTGGCATTCTAAAACAGAAACTTACCACATGGAGAATCTTATTCTCTGTCTCATACACCGTGCAATCCTGTAAAATGAGAAGAAGACAGAAAGAAGAAGAAGATGGAGAAAGCATATATGTGAACATCCGCACAGAAGCTCAAATATCTCCCTCCTCCAAATATAACAACCAGGAAAGAAGAAAATGAGTGAAATGAGACGGCCAAGAGGAAGAAAGACTTTTTTTTCAATGGAGAACATCAGCAGTCAGCTATTTAATTTCTAACCACCCACATTATGTATATTACTTGATAATCTAGGCAGACTAAAACATTGGATTGACCAATTCTGGATCTACTCTGCTGCCTGGAGCTCCGTGAGCCTCCGCAGGATTTAGAAACTACATTATTTGAACATGACAGATTGTTATTTAACGATAGCTGATAGTTAATCTATTTCTGGGAAAGCAGCCCACTGAATCCACCAGATGTGCATGGTAGCAGTTAATTCATCTGTTTGATGCATTAGTGCAGGCGGTGCTGCCACCTTTGTCTGTCTCGCTGCACCCTGGCAGCCACATGTTCATTTGGCCCATTGTGGACCTACAGTGGCCCCTTTCTCCTACCTCTCCTCTGGCCCTTGTAAGAGGGGAAGGGTGTTATCTGCTCAGCTTCAGGACTCACTCTGGGCACACGTACAAACACACTCTCACACACTCTAAGCAGGCTCTTACAGGGAGGACATGGATGTGGTCCAGGAGCGCAGACATAGTTTCTGTCCAAACAATGAGATTTCTACAGTATCAGAGTGTGTATGCATGCAGCTCCAGTTTTATTCTTTAAAAAGTACATTTGTGTGTGTAAGTGTGGTGAATCTACACGAGGGAGCAAGCCAGAGGGGGTGCAGAAGGAGGACAGGAAATTAAGGGATGAGAGACCCCTAGTTCATTCTCCATCAGGGGCCGTAAGTTAAGCAGAGGATGAGGTCTAATAGTGACTCAATGAGTGCTTTGCTTAAGGCTGTTACTGAGAGCTACTCGTCCCATCATATCACGCTGCAAACAGCCCGTGGCAGCAGGCATATGTTCGACTCATAATCCAATCTATAGAAAGGAGCTATAGACCAGAACAGTCTCCAATCCACACACACTTTTGTTTTGCCCTTTCAATTCAAGTCATGACCTTTATCATAAGAGTGTGATGAATATGGACATGATGGATTGTGTGATGCATGCATCCCATGTGGCTGTGAGTCTGTGTGTGTGTGTGTGTGTGTGTGTGTGTGTGTGTGTGTGTGTGTGTGTGTGTGTGTGTGTGTGTGTGTGTGTGTGTGTGTGTGTGTGTGTGTGTGTGTGTGTGTGTGTGTAAGCACCTGTTGTACAATGGTAGTTAATTCTAAGCAGAGCTGCACGATGTTGTTCTTCAGTAATGAATACTCTGTCACACTGGCAAAAGGAGACCTGAAAAAAAAGACAAAGGTACAGAGAATCTGACAAATGCATCTGAGTCCATAAAAACATGGCAAACATTGGATGAGTGTAGTGGTCATGATCTTATTCTAGAATTTGATTTTATCCTGTCTGTCTAAAAATGAAAACGAGGGTGAAATAGGTCTCAAAATCACACAAGTGTGCTACTGAATGGGAGCAAAGCATATTTGGTCATTCTGTTAACAAAAATTACTTCCTTTTGAGAAAGTGATTTTTTTCCTATATTGGTGTTTTTATTATGTTTTGTTCCTTTCATTTCTTTACTAACAGTGTGATTTTAAAAGCTGCGATAGGGCACTGAGCGAGAGAATTAAAAGCTATTCTCTGCTCCTCTCAGAGCACAGGAGCAAGTGATGAAGATAAACAACAATATTTGGCTTTATATCACGGCCAGAAGGATGTGCAACCCAGGGATCTACTACTAACGCTCAACATCGCTTTATTTGTATGTGTTCTCAGTTTCATATGGATCCATCTGCTGATCTAATTTCACGATGATAAACAAAAACATCCTTCCTTACCAATTACGACTTATGTTACTGTATGAGGGTTAGACCAAATAACAAGAACACCTGATAAAATAATGCAGCCACTCAATACAAATTACTTATGTGATGTTTATTATAATCTGTGTCAGAGGAAGATTGTGAGGTGTTATTGTTCTGTCCACTGCCTGGTGTCCCCTGTGCAGTTTAGTTACTAATTTATAATAACAAGTTGCTGCTAGCAAACTAGTTACTTGCACTAATTGTTGTTGTGTTCAGTAAAATAAATGTTCTTAAGATCAATATTCTGACAATTAAAATGGAATAGTTCAACATTTTGAGAAAAACACATCCCTATCCCCGTCCAGTCTTTCTTTTTGTCATTAAAATATTAAAAAATATAAAGCTGCATGTAGCTGAGTTAAGTTTAAATTAAGACAGACTGGAAAAGAAGCACTGATTTTATGGTTCCAAATGTCAGTTTTTTGCATAGCATAAATGACATTGTTTTGACCACAGATAGACCATCAGATAAAGTGTATTCATGCTAGAGTAATAGTAATAACCAGTACAGACCCACATTAGCATAGACTTTCTAAATCTAGATTTTTGTGATCATCCTCACTTGATGAAAATTGAGGACAATGTCTTAAAAATTTAAGTTCAAATCCCTAAATTTCTTTCGCAGCCCCAGATGTGGTCCATACCTGTCAAGCCAGGCTAGCAGGTTCTTAGCTGCACCAATCAGATCCACAACTGAAGTGAGGAAATCATTGGGTAGCCTCCTGGAAGCTCGTCCATCGTAGTGTCCGCCCCTCCGCCGGCCCAGGATGAAGTTCTGTAGGTTCTTCGCCGAAGCGTTCAGCTTGTGGGACAGAGTCCGAAGGTTCTCTGTCTCTAGACCATAGTTCTGGAGGACAAACAGAAGGATTAGAGTCATTATGTTTGTCAGAGGGTCTAAAGGCGTGCCTACACACAGGTTTCCGACATTCAGTTTGTGCCTGAAAACATCTCATGTAGAGGACTGAAACTGCTGCTGCTCTGCTAACATGTTGCTTTTGCTATCCAGGCTATGTGGACAGTGAGTCAGACATCTGGTTTGGATTTAATTGTGGACATTATTTACCATTTTGGAATAAGAATATTAATACCACTCTCATATCTGTACGTTAAGAACAGGGTGTGGTTGGCTTAGCCTAAAGACTGGAAGCTGGGAGAAACATTGACCTATGCTACACAAAAATAAATGAACAATTACAATTTTGTGGTACGATCAGTTGGCAAGACTCCAGGAAGTCATTGCACCCTGCTTTTGTTTTTTCAGAAATAGATAAATCACACCCTCTTCAACTCCCTGTCATTTTGACATTTTTTAATGTGGAGGGATTAAACATGCAAGACAGGTGTAATTAGTGAGGTTGGAGGTGCTAGTAGGCACATATTTTAACTCTGGAGATAGCTCGGCTAGCTGTCTCCCTCTGCTTCTAGTCTTTTTGCTAAGCTAGGCTAATCGCACCGTGCCTCTAGCGCCATTCTAGTGCAAAGACATGAGATAGATATCGTGCTTTTCAACTCATTCTTGGAAAGCAAGTGAATAAGCACATTTCCCAAAATGCTGAACTACAGGTTTATAAAACTCCATAATATAACGTAGATAAAGGGAAATTAAAAAGTAATGTTAAACCACTGCAATATATTTTGGAATTCATACAATAAGTCATACATATGTATTTTATTGAAATAAGGTTGATCTTCCCACAATAGGTTGCACAGAAAAATTAATTAAATATTAAATTAATTAGAATTACTATCTCTGAATAATCATCAGCAATTTGATAAAACAGCCACTCTATAGACTAATACAAGAACACCAAGCTGGTTGAGTAGCCCGTTACTGCACTGTGACCCTTTTAAACAAACACACACACACACACACACACACACACACACACACACACACACACACAAACACACACACAGACAGACCCACTGAGCCACATTGCTCAGCGTCCCAAGGCACCTCCAGTCATGTCCTGCCTGACAGAGCCTGATTCCTGCTGACACAAAGGCTACACACACACACACACACACACACACACACACACACACACATCCTTGTATAGTCAGATGCACAGGCTTAGCTAGACGTATCTATTCCTCCACTGCCTCTAGATCTATTCTACACAGTCACGACCACAGTGACTACAAAGGAGAGAGGGTTTCACAGTGGCAGCGGAGAGAGAGAGAGAGAGAGAGAGAGAGAGAGAGAGAGAGAGAGAGAGAAAAAAGAAAATTGAGGAACTAAAGAGGCAGAAGACAAGAGGGAGAGAGAGAGGGAGAGAGCACCCAGCTATGCATCTCACTGAAACTGGGTCATGCATACTGTGTTCTGTATAATCTTCTGTATTCTGTGTGAATGTAGATGTACACCTGAACTTGGAGCATACATGTTTGCACAGCTGTAATTAGCCTGTCCTATGATTCGATCTAAAACTGTGTGGTTCTCTCCGGGGGACAGAGTGCTAAGATGAAGCAGGGAATAATGCCCTGTGTCGACTGTTTGAATGACTGTGTGTGTGTGTGTGTGTGTGTGTGGAGATAGAGAGAAATAATTTGAGCAGTGCGTGCATATGTGTGCCTGTGTGTGTCAAATCAATACAGTAAGAGGGCGATGCCATTAGAGCAACCACCCCTCCACCTTCATGTCGATGTGGTTGCCATAGCAGCAGTGTGTGGAGTGGCCTCTCCTCCATGCTGATATTTCTACCGTCGTTCACAGAAATACGCTCAAACATCGTTTATGAAATCTTGGGGGGTAAATGGGGGTGTTCATCATTTATTTCTTTTTAAAAGAAAAGTCTTCCTCCGCCACACGTTTACTCGTCTTAAACGTAAGCTTTTGCAGACCTAGCAGCAAAATGTGGAGTATCTAACCTCTCTGAATCTCAGCTTCACTGGGTTCACTGCTCAGCAGAGGTACATGAGCGTTTTATAATGAGCAAATTTTAAATCTTTACTGCATGTTTTTTTTATTAACTAAAACCAGTCCAGCTACAATTTTCTACTATTGGGCACTGGATTCAAAATGAGACCAGTCTTTTTTTTTCTTGATTGTCCTATAACAAGGGTTGTTTTCAGCTGCTTAAAAACAAAATAGAAATTATGAAGCTGTACATGGTTTGATTTGTTTGTAATTACCTTTTTTATGGGGCTAGGTTTTAACTCAGACAGTGCTTACCCTTCATCAATCAACAACTAGGAAAAAAAACAATTAAAAAAATGTAACAAAAAAACATATAAAAGAATGAACAGTAAGACTAAAATCACTTGTATAAAACAAACATAGATGCACACACTTGCAAGTAAAGGGAAAGGATGAGTGAGTGGATTTACATTCAACATTAATTTAAGCTTTCCTATATGAGACTTCTGAGGACTCCTGTCTAATTAGCTCAAATGTTCAAATTAAGATAAAAAGGACTAGAAATATAAATGATGGCCAACTATGCAACACCATTCACATAACCAACAGGATTTCAAGTTGGAGTCACACAGGGTAACACTGAAAAGGAACCAACATAGAAAGCTGACTCATCTGCGTGAAAGAGTTACAGGAGGAGATGACGGCATGAATCACTTTCTCAGAACAAAAGCAGAACAAAATTGGGATATAATTCCAAACATAAAACAGCTAACTAATTATTATTATTATTATGCCAAGACTATGCCAAGATATTTTAAGTTTCAGAGTTGCTATGTTTTAGGCTGTTTGTTAGATGTTCTGGTATAGAGGCAGAACATCTTGTCTGTTTGCATGGGTTTTCTTTCAGGCGTTTTGATTTCCTCCTCCAAAGGTATGAAAGTCACATTGATTACAAACTCTAAATCTCAGATAGCCCTAACAGACAGTTGAGCCCCTTACAGGGAGCCTTTTGTTCTTAAGAGAATGATGATGCCTTTACCGTGGCACTGAAGAAGAAAAGGAATGTATATCAAATTGATTGTTAAATCACACTGTCAGACTTCTGAGGGAAATAAAGCTATGTTTAGTATGATACATCATATAAAAGAGAAGTGGTCCTAAAATAGAACCTTTGGGGACACCTCAAGGACTGCTTGAATGTGAAAAAAGCTGATCTCAACCTCATCACCTGACCCAGAGGGCGCAGAATAAAGTTACAATTTGTGTGATATATTTTACACAAAGCGATAACCAAGACTCAGTCAGGTGAAAGTTGGACACAGGCTACAAGATCAGGGTTCAAATTACGTGGGAGCCAGTGGGAGCTGAGCCTCCATAAGAAGGGGTCTGAGCTCCCATGAAAGCAGTTCAATCATAAATCTGTGGGGGGTATCTAATACATTACCACCACCATTATTTAAATGACAAATAATGTATTTTTCAATGTAATGAGTATTGCTAAGTTAGGTTAACCACTACTCTCTTAGATTCTGCTTACTTTATATTAGACTTACAACTCGTAATATGATGCAGCTTACATAGCACACCTACATCCATATGATACCTAAAAGGGCAGAATTATCTCTCTCATGAAAAGCGCCCCCATTAGGCATTTATTTACTTATACCTGCCCCACAGGTAGATTTTTAGAGAACCAAAAGCTCAGATTATAACTCAAATCCTGTACAAGATACAAATAGATCGGTGTGTTGTCCAAACTACTACAAGTTTTAAAAGTATAATAGAAGTTAGCTAAGTAGATTTTCTTATCACTTGGTTATATAAATACTAGCTGTACACAGTATCTTAGCTGCCAGGTATGTGACAGCGGGAAATTGTCACATACTTATATTAATTATAGCAGTAATCAATAAATCTGTGCTAAAATATGGCCTGGTTACAATATTTGCAGCCCTCTACTGTATTTTGAGTTAATTTAAATTTTTATAAATTTGTTCTGTCTTTATACTTTTTATGTAACTTCAATTCAATGACACCTATGTCATTTTTGTATGTCTTTCATTTCAGAGTTTGGGGATGAGCCGTCATTTCATTCTTAAGTTATGCCCATTTCCCAGCACATCTTGCTGAAAATTCACTGCACCCACAGAAACCTACTCAGCATAGATGCTAGGGGCAAAAGCTCGATTGCATAGACATAAAAGAAGGGACTTTTCCACATTTACAGCGAGACTGAAAGCTCAGTCAGTGCTTGAAACTTGCATTGATCCAGGGCCACAGAAGCTCCACTTTTTTACTGCAGAAAGACCAGAAAGTCATAACAGTTGAGCCAGGGGAACAGGGTTTTGCTTTCCCTATGATGGATTATATTGCTGACGACAGAAAATCCTCCTTTATTATCCAAATATTCACAGTGTCTACAGGTACTAGCGCTGTGTCCCTTTGTTACTTGAGAGTACAGTTAATGAGAGGTAGGAGGTCAGTTGAGATTTGCTTTCCCGAGGCTACCTTAAAGGATAATTCTGTTTAATTATAACTTGGGTCTTACTTTTGTAGCTTTGGCCTTCATTTCTATTGATTCTGAAAACATTTTACTCAGTAAAATAATTGCTGAGATCTCAGAACACTGCACCTTCGCTACAACAAAGTCCGACGGGGCAAGAAATGAGGAGTCGCATGATCAGGCAAGTTGTAAACCAGCCAACAGTTTAGTCAAATAATCAGTAAGTTTACCCAAAATGTCTACAAGAAGCCCTCTTTGCACAAGAAAGCAGTTTGTGCACACACTGATAGCAAGTTTGGTATAGGTCAACATTAAACCCTGAAGTCCATCTGTAAACTGCGATTGAAGATTGATGACAGTTTTGGTAATATTTCACTGTTCACCTTCAATTTCAACTTTCAACTTGAGTCTAACTTTGTGTGTATACAGTCTTATCATATCTGATAGCAATCTGATAGTTAAAACTACAAAAAGTAAGACTTTGTAAGAAGTTGTAACAAACTGAAATTATACTTACACTATATACTATACTACTATACTATACTATACTACACACAGTACTTCTAGTGATACACCTTGTCTATCTGCTGTCCCTATATGTGTGTGTGGTGTGTTTGTTTGTGTGTGTATGGTGTGTGTCCAGTTCCAGGACATATGGTGATTGCTGCTCTGGGACACTCATTCCCATGCTGGAACGTTTGAATGAGAAGAGGTGCTGATTAGCACACACAAGCATGTGCGCATACACACACTCTCACACACATTCAAACAGCCCCAACTAATCCAGCCATGTGTGCCTGGGAGATAAGGTGCATCCTGCATACTCTCTCTACATACTCCCTCTCTTACTCTTCTTCTCTCTTTCCCTCTCACTCTCCCTTCCTCTCTCGCGCTTTCTCTCTCTGGGAGAGTAGCACCTAATTCCCCCTAATTCCCTAATCCTGAGCAGGGCCACTGCACATACAGTCAGCAGTGACCGAGGCAGTACACACAAAGCAGGGCCCAAATGACAGAGGATTTTTCTAGCCATTTCTTAAGCCAATATCAATAACTGGTGGGGGGAAATAAACAACAAGCAATATATAAATCTTTCTACCTGTGAGAATTTTTTTAGCAGTTATGTGAAAGAAAAATATACTTACTCAACTTTGGTCTAAAAGTAAAGCATATGTATATATAGTATAGGGTAATAATGTGGTTGGAAATTTGACATGTCATGTCAATATGACCAACAATGACACACTGAAACTCACAAAAACACACACATCCAGGACCTGCATCACTCTTTTCAAATGATCACAAATTAAGAGAAATAACAAAAAGAGAAAAAAATAGTAAGTAACAGAAGCAGACTGACCAGGGCACAGAGAAGGTCGACAGCTTCCAGGATGAGCTCCTGATGTCCTATCCTGGTGACGCCCAGCTCCTCCAGTTCCTGATGGGTGATGTGCAGCAGCTGCTCTCCCCCCATCTGCTCCCGCTCGAAACTCTTCACGTACTGCTGGAGACAGTCATCCAGACCTAAGGAGACCATAGGCAGACGCAGGTTAGCCAGAGCTGATGTCTACTTTCACTGTGTAAGGGATCTGATAGTCAGCCTTAGCCGAAAAAGACAAAATGTTTGGTATTTGGACGAGCTTTCAGCTCCTCCAGAAACAAAGAGGAAACAAGTATGTAGGAAATATTGATCTTTGGCTGATAGAATTACAAATTTAAGTTCATGTCTGTCACACTGTACACTGAATGCTGGTCCACTTAGTTGCAGCACAGAATTCAGGCGGAGTGCAGACACCCACACAGAAACACACTGCAAATGTGTGTTCTATTCTGCCAAAGAGAAACAAAAGCTAAAACCAGCCTAAAGCCAGAAATTTCATCAATGCTTTATTGGCAACTCACTAACTGTCACCTAGAAATCACATCTGTTTGCTTGGCTTTCCAATATCTGACGATGATTGAACATCATGCTGTAATAAGATTTCCTTTGATGTCACTACTTTTTACGTAAAAAAGAATCAGAGCAGTGCATTTCTGAATTTCATGCACATTCTGAGTGATTAAGGGTGTGTCTAAAATATACCCAGAAAGATGTGACCAACATATTGACGTATGACTTTCTGCTGTTAAGCTGTGGCTGCCTGCCATGCAGAGAGCCAATCAGCTGCACATAGATGTGGTGGGTCCAGGATACTATTGATCAGTACGAGCCTCAGGCTTTGAACCAAACAAAGTCAGCAGAAAGCACACCTCCCCACAGACCTAATGAACAAGCCTGCTTCAAAATGAGCACACACACAGAGCGAAAACGCATGAGAGGAAGCAAATCCATGCACATGTACACACACATGGAACCACAGAGAAACACAAATAAGTGTACTCTGTGTCTCACAATCACACATACACATACAAATACAATTACAACTGCTGTTGATATTCAGGGTCTTGACGCCTCTGTGGAGGCATGTTGTTAAAGCCGAGTGGAGCTGTGAGGAAAACACTGATGCCCAAGGGAAGCAATGCTGACAGAGAGCAGACAGTGTGGTAGCACCTTAACACAGTCACCACACACACACTCTCTGCAAAGAACGAGCAAGAGGCATCTTGCTCTTGGTATGCCATGGGACATAACAGACAGATATAAGCCTATTGTTGCTCAGAGTGACATGAACAAACAATCTTGTTACATACAGCACAGAGGAGCAATTTTAAAACCTAACACATCAGTAAGAGGCCTTGCTCTGTAGTACCACAAGTGGAAATTGTTTAATGGAATACGTTCCCTATGAACAAACACTCATATCGCACATTTTAGAATGTCTTTCACATGTGAGGATTCAATGTTATCTCATGCAAGACTGTTGTACGTTTGTACATGATGTATGGAAATGTGAATGTGATAATTTGTTTTCTCATGTGGACAATTTGGTATCAGGTGAAACTACTTTAGAACATCTAAGCAGTTAGATAAAAAATAAAACTACTTTAATATTAAGTATTGCTCTTTTAACTCCACTACATCAACAGATATAGCTACTTGTTACTTGGGAAATTACAATTTTACAAACAGTATAAAATGATGAGCTTTAAGAATATAATGCATGCTAATAGATTCAAGTATGCAACAACAGTATATAAAATACTTTAAATTAGCTCCACCTTGACCAACTACTACTTACACATTAATGCATCAGTAATACTAATCCAATATAATAGTATAAAAGAAAAAGTAAAGAATTTACATGCATTAATAGGTTTGTATTACGGATTTGTAACTTTAAAAAATGAGACTTTCCCCAACTTTCTCAGTTGCCTATAAAAGCCCGTGGACTGATTTCTATGTAAAGTATTTGGAACAGTTTTGCTGGGACAATCCAAAGGATGTGACGTTTACACACGCTCCCAAGTCCCTTGCCTTTCTTCAGCTCCCCTAGGGCAACAATGTGCAACTAATGTTGGCTTAGAAATACAGCCCGCTAACGCCAATACACACACCCATCACAACAGTCCACGTAAGAACAAAAAAACTAAGTTTTATCTCGTGAAGCCTGTCTATGCCTATTGTTGGTCCAGCTTACTTTAGATGAAGCCACAGCCACTTCCATATGATGTAAGCCTGGACAGCATATGATGAGAAACTTAAGTTTTAGCCGTGGTCAATCCAGTTCTACACCCACAGTTTTACGTTTACGCATGTTTGAAAAACTTCCCAATCCACACTCCATTCCAGTGGGTGGCGGGAATGCGTGACGTTGTTTGCCAAACACCTACATCAAGAAGAAGAAGTTTGAAAGATTAATGAAAATAGCTGTACAGCCAGTAATATGTTTGTACCCAGGATGGCAAAGTCATGAGCCACCCTACTCTGCCTCTGATTGGCTTACCCTAACCCTTACCAATCTCACTCCTCATGCCTAAACCTAACCAACCAAACCAATGAAGCCCGCTAGAACTACCCAATCAGAAGCCGAGTAGGGCAGGTCATGACTTTACTAAAAATACAGCGAACGCTATAATCTGTGTAAAATAAGATTTTAAAGTTATTTTCAAATACTGTGCTCTAAAAATGTTATTTTTAAACAGTATCTCTGTCCTGGTTTATTTTAAAGGCTGGACCTTCACTGGTCATAGAGTATTTTTACCTTGTAGTATTGCTACTTTTATGTATTGTTCTGGATATTTTTAGTTTTTGTATTGGTTTTTAGGTGGAGCCAGTTTTATAGTTAAAGGTCCAGTGTGTAGGATTTTATGGCATCTAGTGGTGAGAATTCAGACTGCAACCAAGTGAATACCACTTGCGTCACTCTCCCCTTCCAAGTGTCCAAAAGTCCCCAAGAAATGAGAAAGTCCCTATCTAGAGCTGTCTGGTTTGTCCGTTATAAGCATGGTGGTTCAATATGGTGCTCCCTCTGTAGAGAGGGCTCATTCCAAAGTAAATAAAACATTCTTATATTCAGGTGATAATACATTAATGAAAACATCCTTATGAATATTCTGCCAATAGATCCTCCTAAATGTTATATACTGGACTTTCAAGTAGGGGTTAGCCCCCCCCGAAGGGTCACAAGATAAATCTGAGGGTCATCATTATTCATTAATCATCTTGAGATGATTCTGCTAAGTTTTGAAACACAAATCTTTTGACTACTCAGTTCTTTGCTTTTGTTGTGAAATGATGAGTAATTTTAGTTCTTCTGAACATCTGACAATACGACAAGAAATCATCTCTCATCAATTCAGTCTTCTGAATTGACTTGCACATGTGAATTCATGCTCTCACATGCAATTTGATTTCTCTGGAAAGAGCAGTTCAAATCTAAATCATTGTGTACTCTCGTACCCCGTCTGAGTTTCTTATCTATGTTCAACAAAAAAATATCTGTGATTATTCATTTCAATACAGCTCTGCATTTTATTGTTTTACAAAAACGTTCTTGGCGACTTGAATAAGAGTAAGTACACAGCTACATTCCAGCATTATGTTTAAATGGCTGTTTTTATTTCCTTTCGATGTAAAATGTTTATTACAGTGGGCCTGGTGTAGTCTAATAAATCATCGCCAGTGTTGGCAGAGATATGTACAATTGGAGTGAACATGCAGATTTCTTTAGCCAGCCAGCAGCTATAGGAACAGAGACAGCCATGCAGAGAACATTGAGGCAGAGCAGAGAGAAAGCCCTGCAGCTGATAACTAGGATTTCTGAATATGTGACTCCCAGTGCACTATAAGAGAGACATGAGAGGAAAATAAAAAACAGAGATGGCTATTTCTCAAAATGGAAGTCTTTATGTCCATACCTAAGAAAGGTGAGCCACTCAATCCAATCCATCCTTCACATTTCCTCTGCCACTCCCTCACTCTCACATTTGTCCTTCCCCATTTACACCCCTGCCTCTCCTTCTGAAGCGTGGAATCATTTTTTAATAGTAGCCGTGTCATACAAAGTGGCACGTTATGGCTTATGTCATCATAATGCAAATGCAATATCTCACTATATTTGCAAAATGATGACAGTATAATATCTTCATTGCACATTTAAGATTCTCTGCAGGTGGAAAAAGTGGATTAACTTTTTCACACTTATTATTCAAGTCGTCACTTCAGTCCTCTTCCTGGTGTCTAATCATTAAAAGCTGCAGCTTTTCCCTCTCTTTTTTCCACTATCCACCCACATAAAGTATATAAATTATATAGAGAGGTGATGAATAAGGAATCAAAGAGGTCAAGGCTGACTACCACTGCATCCTCTGGGAAAGCACCCTACTATAGCTATTCTGCAACACACACATAGATGAATGAGTTGCTGAGTTGACAGCGGTGCATTTAGAGGCCATTTTCTTTCAAGTATGATGGGATTTATTGTTTCAAACTATATGTGAATTCTCACTCGCATTATTGCACAAACACATGCACAGAAACTGCACACAGGCACAAACAGACATACATTCATACATGTATATACACATTGTGACACACAGCTGCTGGCCAATCAGATGAGTCAGAATGCCTTCCCCTAGAGGATAAACAGCTGATCTTGGTTCATCTGCTGAGTTCATGCTCCAGCTGGAAATAGCACATGGTGCTCACAAACACATTTAAACAAAATAACTAACACATAGTGGTCAGGTTTGTCAGTACTACATAATACTATAAACCTCATGACATTAAAATTATGTTTACTATTAGTCAAGATTTGCAGCAGTTGAGACTGTATCATGCAAGATTTTTTTTTTCTGTGGCTCTAGTGTCTTCTCACATCAGACTGTTTACTGTGTTCTTAGTAACTGCAGGAAATATTAAAACTGACCTCATGCTTAAGTAGGCCATGCAGAGAAATAAGAGTCAAATAAAGCCTAGCCTGCGTGCAGATAAAATAAACAAAAAGTAATTTTGCATGAGTAATGTCAGAAATGTCTCTCTGTGTAGTCAAGTCAGAAGCTTAGTTTCCCCTGGGAGCTAAGATATTTTATCATAGTTTAACCACAGATAGTTGAAATGGTGCTTCCACAGTGTGCAGAGTCAC